TACATTTACAGGGTGTGTAAAAAAAACCACGAAACCAACGCTTTCTTAGTCAGAATCATTCAAATGACTCAAAGTTCTGTCCATGCACGGATCACAAATAAAGTAGGGCCTAAGTGTTCTCTCAGCAAAACAAAAACAATTCACACAGGGATGCATGTGAATTGATTTCGTTTTGCTGAAAGAACACTTACCTTTTTAATGATCCGTGCATGGACGAGAACTTTAAAACGGTGGTTGTGTTCAAAATTCCGTAACTTTAAAAGTACATAAGTGATTTGAATGTTTCTTGTACTGAAAGAAAGCTCATTAATTGGGCTTTCATATCCTAGATTTTGAAAGTGCTACATGCAAAACTTCATTCAAAAATTGGTCCTGTCATTTGGGTTTCGTGGTTTTTTTTTTACTCACCCTGTAGCGTATAGAGCTTGGAGTCGTTTTGGGACATGATTCCGCACAAACGATTTAGTATTGCTCCACTGTGCCAACGACAACGATATCATAGAACAAATTTCAGTGAAGGATTTAGTCGTAGCACAGCAAGACGTTTAAATTGTGTGGCGTAATGAAGTAACAATGTGTCTGTGTTGCGAGATAAGACTGCAACTATTAACCACAACAAAAACCCAATAAAATAATACTCTAAAATTAAATCTCTCTAAATATTTACGCTCATTTTATGGTTTCCTTCCTCTAATTAAACAACTGAGGCTTTAGCGCTTATTGAAGTAGACGGACCAACAATGGTAGATAACTCACCGAAGGGCTATATCATTTTATATTTCCTATGCAATTTAGATTTTAAACAATTTCCCTTGACGATTAAAACCTTGTATGCGTTCCATGCACTCTTTATAAGGATATACATGTAGTATTTTTTTTACAGTGAGCTATCGTTTTCCATTAATGAGCCTCTTGATAATTTTACCACAGTTCTTGACACACATGTTTATTGTTTTTTTGGAAACCTGTCATAGGTCGCGGGACCTTTATAGAATTTTAAGGATTCTTTTTTTTTTTTAATATAATCCATATTCATAAGAAAAACATGCGTTCTATAGTGCAGTATTGGGTAATCGTTAGTTGATTGGACTAAAGTTTAACCTTGAATACCAAGATGCGACCATTTTTAAGAACTCCAATACATACCTATTGACAATCCTATACGATAGAACTGCCCAGCTTTAAGGTGAGCCAGTCAGTCTGTTAGTGAAGAACAAAGAAGACATTTTACTGGCCGCATGGGACATGCTAAAAAAATGAAGCAGTTTTAAAGATAACACTTCTTTGTCCAGACCAGAAGGGTCAATGAAATATACGTTTGCCTTACCCCCCCCCCCTCATCTTTTACATATAAGAGCCCCAAAAACCTCATTTTTCTCATATTCGTGTTCCTTTTACATTACACATCTCCCAAATTTCCCCGTTAGATTCTCGGACAATTAAACCCAACTTCCTAGAAACAAAACCCTGGCTTCCTGGAACAATACCGGGCCACCAACTCTGAAGTCTCTTATCAATAAAGGAAGAAGGGGTTTGGACAAAAGTTCGACTCGTCTGTGGTCTGGACTAGGTGTCGCCTCCTAACTTTTTGTCGCACAATTTCTGATAACTTGTTGCAAGAGGATGATTGCAAGGTTATTACTCAGGTATCTTTTGATCTTAAAAGTTGCCTCTGTTGTCGGTTTAGAGTTTCCAAAGCCAAATGGTTTTTTTTTCCTTTGGTCACCTAGAAGTAGGCCCTCCACTGCTTGCTGCTTCCGTGTTGATGACTGGGCCCATATACAGCTCGTCCCAAAATACCCGCAACTTTTTTTGCGAGGCTCTAGCGTCGGCGCGGAGACACGTACCGCCATTATTTGTATACCATTTTAAAGCTTGGAATCTGAACGTTATCCGTGGTAAGTATTGGTTTGATATTTAAAAGAGTTTTACAATTATTCGTGTTCAAATAAAAGGCATGTCGAAAACTCAACCGATTTCGAGGAAAATCGATGATGCGGTACATCAGATGCAAACTCGAGTCGCGCTTTGAGCGCGCTTTTCGAATAGGTACTTGCACGTGAATTCCAAAATTGAACTTGAAACGAAGAACAATATTGTGAATTCTTTTAAAGTGAAGTCCACGTGGATCAACAAGAATAGGAAACACAGAAAGTATAAAACAACGAGATCGTCACATCATGATCGAACCATTTCCACATTAGAAAGAAATGCGCATGATTGATTTTCCTTGAAAGCGGTTGATTTTGTGTTTGACATGCCTTTATTTGAACACGGATCATTTCAAAACCCTTTTGAAAATCAAACCAACAGGGATAAAGTTGACATCCCCAGCTTTAAAATGTTATAAAAAAGTATGGCGGTACGTGTTTCCGCGGCGATGCTAGACCTCGCGAATAAAATGTCGCGGGTATTTTGGGACGCGCTGTACAGAAAAAAAAACCACGTACTTATTACTTTATCATGTCCATGTCATATTTGGCTTATCGATAACAGTTTCCGTAAGCATCCAGTTGAGCAATTAGTTCTTAAATGTAAAAAACAAATTATTTAAATCCACGCGAAGAGAAAGAAAATGACCCAACTAGGCCTATTCCCGGAAAAAAATACTATATTTAAATATCAATGGATGTGTTATGCTTTATCGAAGATGCAGTGATAAAAAAACAAACACTGCATCCGAGAAAAACAAACTTTGATTGGTGTGGTGGGATGAAACTTCAGCTGTTTCCGTTTTCATCGCTCGGTTCGCAAGCAGGTGGATGTCCTCGATCAGCGATGGGGCTTTACGGCTAGAAACTAGGCAGCCTGGGTGAGACCATGGGGCCGGCCCCGGTTCCGAGTTTCAGCTCTACGGCACAGGTGCGTCCGAGCCAGGAGCGGTGTACGGAGCGGGGGAATCACGGGGAAACCCCCGTCATTTCCCCCATGCCCGCATCTCCGCCCGCCTCGCTCGCTGTACCCGTAGTTCGTGGTTTATGCGGAGTCTCGAATGCTTAAACAATACCTCGAAACAAAAAATAGCCCCAGTTGAATAAAAGCGGAGTTCCCCATGAAACTGATTGAAACCATACAAAGGAAATACAGTAGGAGCAACAAGTGGGATTTTTGGTCTACAACTCTACTTTATTAATTTCAAAACTTTTACGATTTTTCTCCAATTTTCGATTCCCAAAATGCTTAATCTGTTAAATTGAATCATTGTTATCATAACTTTTAATAATAAATAGACAAAAATTAAAATAGATTCTTTTACCATTCAGCACCAATAACCTTACAGATGTGCAAAACCGACAAATAAAACAATGATTCCTTTATGGCCAGCATCTACTGCTCATATGAACAGCTTTAAGTATGTTTAATGAGTAATTAATATCTGTGCTCGAATTTTGATCTCATTGTTCTTGGTCAGATAAGTTCATTTTGTGGTCGGACCAGGCATTTTCCACGGCATGTTGAACTTGTGACAAAAAGTACATTGCTTGAAGCTATAGATCATTTTGCAGTACATGAACATTCCATATTTGACCCCACGCTTCTAAAAACCAATATTGATGAAGTGAATTTTCTGACAAGACAGACGTTAGTCGGTCGTAAGTCAATCAACAGTGTCAAATAGTCGGTGATATACTGATGCGAAAATTGTACATAATGACAAATTATTTTGGTAAGGGAGAGGGCGCTGTTCCGTTTGGATGATAGTGTAAGATTTTTTTGTCTAACAGTGCCAGGTGTTCACACAAAAATGATGATTCCTAGAACACGAAATGAATACAAGATTTGTGTTCTATGGTAATATATTATAATTTTACTTATGACAAATAGTAATAATTTCAAAGACTTATATTATTGACAAAAACTGATTTACATGTTAAACTACTCTCGAATACAACTTGAATACAATTTGATAATTTAATGTACAGGGTGAGTCAAAAAGAAAGTGACAGAATTAAAACAATATATTTTAAAAAAATATGTTGCTCGCCTCATTTCATAAAAAACCCACAGACATAAAGTACATATTATTGACCAGTAACTGTGAAAATTTTACGTAATTTGCATACTCTATTCACAAGTTACGTCTATTTTAATAAGAAGATCACCAAATCCAGCTGTCCAACGCTGATCATTTACCGTTCTACGAACTGATGAATACCCATCAAATTCAACGAAACATGGACGGTTTCCCACCTCGATAAATGGGGGAGAACTTGCAAAGGAAAACCGACCAAAATCGCCCTTAATATTTCAGAAAATTTGACTTGTTCTTCATACTCAAAACACAAAGCCTGACAGTAAAAATAATGTTTCAGCCTTGATTTAAATGATTAAAATCTCTTGGTATTTGAATGCCTGTGTGTAATCTATTATTCTCACTAAGCTCAATAGCTTCCAATGGCATTCCATGGACAACTATAAAAATGTCCTTTTTTAGTAAAACATGCATAATTTCTGAAAGTGCGGATCAATTTCAGAAACTCTTTTTTTAGATGAGTGGAAGAACATACTCTTTAAAGATATAATTCATTGGTGCTTCAAATTTGATTGCTTTTTAAGAACAAAAATCACTAATTCGGGTCACTTTTTTTTTTGACTCACCCTGTATAGCACAAAGTGTATCGATTTCAAAATCAATCGTAATTAGTATAACTATGTGAGTTGACAACAAAAACGAAGAGCGTTAATGAAGTACTATATACAATCACTTTTAACGCACAAAGATTTTTGTGAATATAATTATATACAATTGTAATAGAACGCTTGACTTAAGCTTGAAATCCACGGAAAGTATATTATATTGCAGTTACTATTAAGGATCTGTGCTCCGATATAGAAAAAAATAATAATTAAAGGGAATATTCCGACATTTGCAAACACCAAAAAACAAAATCAAAATTATTATGAAATACCTTACTTGACTGTAAGTGAATAATAGTCTCAAGCATCCTGTAAATTTCATGGCACATGGTGTGCTGTCATTTTCGAGAAAAGTGGTATTTTTGTATCAATTTCCAACGCTGGTCGGCTGACCAGAGTTGGAAAAAAAACTGGTGTTTTTTTTCTTCAAATAGTGTCTTCAATTTACAATATTTAGTTATAGACCACATTTTGTTTACAATCGATTACACACCTACGAACGGGTACAAGCCAGCTAGACTGGTTCCCTGACCTTACAATTCCAGGGAACCAGACTACATGAACATGATTGGTTTTCCTTAGTTTTTCCAGCGTCTACGAACACAGACCTTCAAACAAGTCAGAGTAACAATATTTGCTATAAAATACTAGGCCTAACACCCAGATCCTTCAATTTCTGAAAATTACAGCAAAAGCAAATGTTGTATATTCCCTTTAAAAAAATCTCCGTCTTTCAAATTAAAAAAAAATGAAGGGAAAAACCTTCAAAAGAGGGTCGTTTAAAAGAAAAGAAAATCGTTCATCGAAAATGAGAGGAATTAAACATCACAATCTGACATTTCTGAAAATAGGGTCCTATATAGGAATTGAAAGTGTCTTAGAACGTTCAAGTTACATCCCCGTGACTCAACTGAACGTTTAATAAAAGTTAACGAAATATTATCTTACAAAGAACCACCAGTTCAGAGAAATAAGTTTTACCATTATCAGCGAATAAAATATTATACCACTGTCCTTTGTTTTACCAACTTCCGTCATAAACTTTATCAGAGAATTAAAAGTCTAGTTGACTGGAATGCAGAAATATAACCCAACAGAGAATAAACAGTTTAATCACGGGAACAGAAATCACCACCTGTTCATGTTCAATTGTTATTTTTAGGGGATTCTCGGGAACCAAAACTCTAAAATTACTGAATACATTCGTTATTATGCACATAATTATGTCGGCCTGTATACATAATACATGTACATAATACGCACACAAAATAGAATTTAATACGAGTGTCTTACATCAATGTGATTTATGTCCACTTTTCTCACACAAGATCCGGGATTTAAATAAACGCTTTGTCGATCACCCAGACTGGGGGGGGGGATCCTTTTTCACCCCCTCAAATTTAAGTAAGAATATGTGCTTATTACCACGGAGGAAGGAGAGTGCACAAATTTCTAGAGCAAAAAAATCGACCCTTCATTCACTCTAAAAACAACTGTCAGAATATTGACTGGTTTTCCTAGTTATTGAAAATTGACTAGCTAGAATTTAGTTAAACATGCAAACGTTCATACTATGACTAGAAAAAGTAGTTGTATTTGACTCCAATTTTAGTTATTTGCAAAATTATTTTTCACTTCTGACTTGAAAGATCTAGTCAGATTGACTGATTTTCAGTTGCACCCAGCTGACCCTGAATGGCTAGTCAAATTTAACTGGTTTCTAGTCAAATCTGACTAATGTGTTTTTAGAGTGTTCGGTATAAGCATGGCAGTCAGATCAAGTAGCTTAAAAACTGGGGGGATAACTAAGATGGAAAGCTAGTGTGTTGAAAATAAGGATGAGCAAATATTTGAGGCATCTTTACAAAGACACGATTTAATGAGATCTCATTTCATCCCCTCAGTCTTATTGTTACTCCTCATCTAGACTTACAAACTGTCCTATCTCCGCAACATTTCCGACCCTAAGACGACAGTCAGAAGGATGGAAGCGCCCACAAACATGAAGAGGAAGATGCGATCCACGGCCTTGGCCAGCAGCTTCCACTCGTCCACTATCGCCTCTTCTTCTTTCTCCTCCTCCTTGTGCTCCACTAACTTCTTCAAGTCCCCGGAGATGTTGGTCAGCAGGCGCTCTAAGGCCGGCGAGGCCCCATGGGCGGCGCCATCTTGCCGGGGCGCCCCAAGCGGCGAGACAATGTCCAGCGTCGTCTGCAACCCTGTTTCGCCCGCCTCTCCGACTTGCTCCTTGGAGCGATCGCGGCTCACCGGCCGGCCGAGCTTCGGGCTGGACGGGTACCGTACCATCCCCGGCGTGCCCGCCTCCGGGGCGGGGTCGTCGCCGCCCGCGGAGTAATCTTCAGAGATGCAACTGGACTTGGTCGTCTTGGCGGAGGGAGACAGCGTGTAGGTCACTACCCCGGTTGGCTGCTCAGTGTCGTTGGTCGCTCGCATAACATCTTGGATATTGGATCAAAATGTGAAATGAATTGTTTTCGCTCTTCTTATGCCACCCAAATGTGTCGAAATACAACATAGCAAAATGCAATCTATAGTTTTTCAGCGCTATCGAATTGACCCTTATATAACACTATAACATCCATACGAAAAGAGCAAAGTGAAAAAGATCATGTAGTACGGCAGATGTGCCTTTGATAATACAAGCATGGCACTTGGCACACAGAGTACGTCGCGAGAAAGATATTTGGCTATAGGGCCACTGCAGACTTGTCCTTTGAAAAAAAAATAGGTAGAATAGGCCAAAAAAAAAAAGTCTCCGGTTTCTGGTATGCGCGCGCGTCGCCGTAGCCATGCGCGTCGGCAAAATGAAAACGGTTTTTTTTCAATACAAGATGATGTTTCAAAACCGCCAAACTCACTGGTTTGACTGGAATTCTGCTGCTGCACAATTCTAACGTGTTTTTAGAAGGGGTTATGATTGAGAATAAGATTTATGTGGCCTCTCTGGAGTCCCATATATTTGCACTAAGTTTAGTCGGGCACCATTTGCAGTCATCAGCCGACATTTGAAGCCAAAAAAAAATAAAAAACAGGTAAAAAAAAAAAAAAAGCCGCGTCGCCGCACCACTTTTGGGGCAAGCTCCATACCAGAAACCGGAGACTTTTTTTTTTGGCCATAACAAGTAATGGCAGCCTTTTTGAAAATTTTCAAAATTGCTTGTTATTCTACCTGGGCAAATCTGCGATGACCCTATAAAACCAAACATCTTTCTCATGTCATACTCTGACTGTGTGCCAAATGCCATGCTTGTATCATCAAAGGCACAATGCCCCTAAATGTTTCCCCTATCTGCCCCACTAATGCACCAGCTGCGGACAACAAATTTAAATTACGCTTCCTTTCGCAAATAGTTGGACAAACCTATAGTACAGAAACTTTTGAGTCGAGATGTTAATTCTTGCAATCAGAGAACGAAACTGACGTAAAGAAAAATCGAAGTCGAAATAAGACGAATACATTAAGTCAATTTCAATCGAAATGTATACCAAGCAAATAATGTTTACGCTCGATCCGAAACATTTTGTAACCAAATCGAATCAAAGATGAATAAAGGAGATACAGGGGGAAAAATAATCAAATGTGAGCGTCAATTCAACCAGTCAAAAACAGTTCTTCAAAACAAGTTCGGAAAACGTCGCGAAACTTGTTGCAAGATTACTTTATCAGCACCCCCCCCCCCAGATTTCCCTAAGCGGATACCGCAAAGCACGAAACAGGTGTAAGGACAACTTTTATCTTAGCAGGACCTTAATTGATCTGGAGAGGCGATCCAACGAGACAGTTTAATATGTTTGTTTGACCTATTACTCAGTATTGAAATTTGCAGAATCATGACCACTGCGATACACACATTGTAGATTTAAGCCTGTGATGTTATATAAAGCTCCGTCGACTTAAGATTCATTTCCGTGAGATTGAGACGCGGACAGTGCTCGATTTTAAATTTTAAAGCAGTTATGAAGAAACTTTCAAGCCGTCGACCACCTGAGTATTATAGATTTTCTCTGGGTTTTTTTTCGGTTTTTTTTCTGGCCCCTATCTACAGTGCCAGTGATTTGTTGTGAGAAGAAAAATCGTTTCATTTTACCAGAAATATATCAAGATCAGTCTGTATGCGACAGACATCGACTTCAGTATTTCACCGAAATGCCTCAAAACTTTGCCTGAAATATCATTTTATGGGCGGCAACTGTGATTTCACCTTTTTAAAGAAGTAGCTAATGCACGGAATATTCCATCCCTCGAACCAATCATTGAATCCAAGTATTTGAATCCAATTTGAATTTATATAAAGATCCTAATACAGTGACGGAAATATTCAGGTAAAATCAGCACTATTTTTTACTTAACATGCAAGTAAACTGTTTGCGGCTGAGTATTTATCATCATGACGGGGTTAATATTACCACAAACGACACAGTAATCCTTATCATCGTTATTTCCATCTTTATAAATCGTCATCATAGTTTTTGACAATCATCCTTTGCATACTTTTCCGAGGTCGAACTATACTTGGCTACGCTTGCTTGCAGTGACTCACGCGTCGATGGGAAGTGAAGTCCGGCATACTCTATTCCCAAGTTTTGTCTATTTTATTAAGATCACAAAATCCAGCTGTCCCCATGCACCGTTCTGCGAACTGATGAATATTCATTAAATACAAGAAACATAAACGTTTCCCCACCTGCACGAATGAACGAGAACTTGCAAAGGAAAACAGACAGCTATTTCCATAAATAGCATGAAAAAAAAAATGAAAACTGGTACCCGTCTACCACCCCCCCCCCCCCCCCCCCCTTTGGATACTCCACTGAATCTACGACGATTTCGTCTTCATTCGAAGGCCATTGATAACTTAATTTAGGAACTTTAACATTCTATTGATTATTTTGGCGAAATTTACATCTTTCACAACATTAGTCAACAATTTTCATCTGTTCACAACATTAGTCAGTGGGGTGTGTGGGGGGGGGGGGGGGTGCATCCCCGCTACTGATATAGCCGACATTGCAGATCTTCAAGTGGAGACGTTAGGCTGGATAAGAAAATCGTGGGCTTTTTCAGTTTCACGAAGTAGGGTAAAATGCAAAGAATCGTATTCCCAATTGCTCAGCTAGTATCGAAATCTAAAAATTCAAATAATGTCCTCTGTATCGGTGTGATGACACGTATTTTACCCACACGCCGTAAAGTTTTGTCAACTATATTTTTTAGAAAGCCAATTTCTTCTAACCGAATTCATTTTAGTAATATCCGAGGATATTTTCTTCGGTTCTTTTTTTAATTTTCAGTAATTCATTTATTAATACATTTAGTTGTACATCCTCCAGAAAATTAATCTAACGGGATGCGGACAGCAATTCAAACTCCGTTCCCTCCCCCTTCTGCCCCCTCCCGTTTGATTTGACGGAGACCAAGCGTCCGGAGAAAAAAACACCTGTCAACATTTCGGCACGGATATGCAACTGCTGTTGTTCCCCCTCCCCCCGCGACATCAAAAGCTGGATACTCCACTGTCGCCACCAAAACTGTAAACGCCCATTCTCGTCATCATCACCATTGCCACCGTCCGTGCTCCAGTCATCGCCACAAACACGGACCAAGCAATCATCAAAATATTCCCTCCCAAAACCACCACCATCTAATACTTCAATATATCCTCATACGAGATAAAAAATGTTTTAGGAGCTGAAGGCAAAAAAATAAGTGAAAATGGACTTCAGTCCTTGTTTTTGCCTTTACCGACGTGGCAGGGAGTAGTTGGTTCGAGTCCCACCCAAGTAAGTTGTTGTGGTTTGTTTTTAATTCGCAAGTCCTTGGAAAGCACCGAGTATTCACTGCTTATGAAATTGCGTAAGTGAAGGGCAAAACACAATTTTAAATTGACCAGTTCCCGACTTACAAAACAAAACAAAAAAATTATCATTAAAAAAAGTAAGAGTAGACATTGGTCTACTCCAAAAGAAACTGATGCCTTTTAAAACCGACATGTCTGCAATTCTAATTTTGATCCATCCCTGCCTGAATTTTGAATGCTACGTAATGGTGACGTACAGTGACGTCACATAAATTACTTACTGAATGATTGCATGCCGCGGAGGGAGACGCACTTTGAACACCGAGACTGGAGGAGCAGGCGGCGCATCCACTCCGGCGCCCGGCGAGCGCCCGGAGGCCGGTGGTTGAAGTTGAGCACCATGACCGACATGCCCACGGACGCGGCCACTAAGACCATGGTAGCTGTGTAGAACTGGCCTGAAAATAAAAACAAGAACATTTAGAGAAAAAAAATAAAGAGATTCTTATTTTTTGCCCCATTTCATTTCAGCCGATTTAGAGCATAGCAGCTGTGTAGAATTGGCCTAAGAGCAGAAAAGTACAAAATTGGAGGAAACGAAAAACATTTTTTTTATCCATTTTTATTTCAAAAAAAAAATGCTCGGGATCCTGTCACATTGTTTTGTTCCTGTTCATTAAACAAAAAGACCAAATTCATATTATATGCATAAGGCCAATTCGCAGCCATGGGCGTCGCGAGGGGAGGGGGGCAAGGGGGAAAACGAAAAAAAAAGGGGGGAAAAAGGAAAAAGAGGTGCGAAGCCATATTGCTGTTAATTTGATGGGGGGTGGGGGTAGGGCAAATGCTCTGCTGCTCACGCTCGGAAAAATGATAAATTCTGAATATAATGAACAAGTTAAGGAATTTTGGGGGAAAATTTGCTTCCCCCCCCCCCGAAAAAATCCTGGCGACGTCCATGTTCGCAGCTGAAAGCTGAATTGCATGGTTATTACATGAACTTCAATAGAAAATTAAACACAAGTAATAATTGAAATTAAAAAGAAATAAGAACTTTCAAATCCAGCTGCTGGCCATACGTTGTGTCCTTGGGCAAGGCACTTTATCCCCACTTGCCTCTCTCCACCCAGGAGTATAAATGGGTACTGGCATTAAGCTGGGGAGTAACCTGCGATGGACTGGCATCCTGTCCAGGGGGAATAGAACTATTTTCAGTCGTTTCATGCCACTGAAACCGGAGATAAACGCCAGCCTGATGGGCCATATAGGCTCGGGACAGACTTTACTTACTTTACAATTGTAGTTCCTCATACGATATTATTTGTTGGACTATTGCCCCAACTAGAAAAAAAAAGTTCTTCTAAATCTACTTCCAACATGGTGATTCGCTTGGTAATTATTGTTTCTAAAAACACAGATTAAGTTAAGAAGATGACAAAACATTTTAAGTACACTTGCGTGGTATACATACATGTACGTGAAAACATCCATCTGTGTTTTGTACATTATTCCAAGATGGCGTCCGCTCATAGACATACACACATAAATCCTACTTCCTCCTATAGGCCTATAGTGTATTCCACATGTGCTCTTGCAAATTTGTGCTCATCCTGAACATCTCCGCTTGAAATAAAAGCTAAAGTTGAACCACAAACTGCAACTCTGAACTAAATTTCGGATTCTGGGTCTTATATACTCGACAGTAAACTCTCACATCTTACATCGTGGTCAAATTATAGGTATAGTGATGTTTGTTCATCATTACAATGCCCGAAACAGTTCAACAAATAGTTGCAAAACAAGAATATACTTACAAGTTTTGTTTTCGGTGTTTTTCAGCACCGTTATGTCATGTTCTTGAAACCCGAAAGACTTGGGTGGATTTTGTTTTTACCTGGTTTCTGTTGGTTATCGTTGTTTTGTTTGTTAGTTCCCTTCGGAAAGAGAAGTTTAGACATGTGGGTTTTTGTTTTCAAACTGGACCATCACAAATCATGGGGGAACTGCATCACATTAAGCAAACTTAATAGCGTCTGAAAATGAAATTTCGTGACTGGTTTGCTGAGTTATATGCTTTTCGATATAATAAAAAAGATTCGTGGTTTTTTTTCAATGCTGTTTTACTGTGTAAAAAAACAAGTATCGATATTATAATTGTTTGAGCTTCAAGTTCCAGTTTCAGGCCGAGTGTCGGAAATACAAAGCGAGTAGAGTGAAGATGAACTCCGTTGCCTTTAAAATCAGCAGAAATCGCTTTGAAAATCATAAGAAAACGCCTCTGTATATGTGATACTGTGGCTCACCTCTTGACATGACGATGTTATGAAAAACCGAAGTTTACGTCTTAGTAAATAATTATTGCATTACTTTCTCGTTGCTGAAATGCATTATCAGTTCATCATTTTAGACGAAAATTCATCTATACCATTAAAGGGAATGTACAACATTGGCTTTTGCTGCAATTTTCAGAAATAAGTGCATTTGGAGGATTTATATGTTTTAGCAAATATTGTTAAATTGACTTGTTTCACGTTTTTGGCTTGTAGATACTGGAAAAACCAAGAAACCAATTATATTCTTGTAGTCTGGTTCCCTGACCCCACTTAAGATGAAATGGAGCAATTTATAGACTTTGGGGAATCGTGCGGTCAGAGTATCAATTTAGCTGGCTTGTACCCATTCACAGGTGAGTAATCAATTGCAAAGAAGATGTGGAATAACTAAATATAAGAAATATGGAGTAGTTTTTGAAAATAGCCAGTTTTCTCCAGCGCTGGTCGGCCGACCAGCGTTGGAAAAATACAATCTTTCTTGAAAATATCAACACACCAGGAGCCACAATTTTACAGGATGCTTTAGACTGTCATTCCCTAACAATCCAGTAAGGTATTTCGTGATAAGTGGATCATTTCGTTTTTTGATGTTTGCAAATGTTGTATTTTTCCTTTAATGTAGACTCATGTGTCAACCATGCATGGTATTTGTGATATAGTGTCAAAACAGTTTTATATCGTACCGGCAACCAATTTTTCGATTGTGATGATCTTGACACTCTTGGTCGACTGCTCAGGTCGTTTTGACTATCTTTTCTGTTCTTTTAACATGTATTTAGCTGTATTTTGATTCAGTTTTTTTACATACGTATATAGGCCTATGTCGTATTTTGTCCTCTCCTTTTATGGAGGTCTGGTTGGAAAATAAATAAATAAATAAATAACTAAACAAAATAAACATTAGGCCACGCACGATTGGTAAGAGCGACACGTCTTTATTCAATGGGGCCCATGATTTGGTCCGGCCCTCCCAGCCCAAAAGAGGGCGTGCTATTGGCACTCTGAAATTTTTATATAATTTTCGACGAGATCAGAGATCTATTCTTCAACTCCAAAATAAAAAATTGCAATAGCAAAATGATATTGAGTCATTTTCTGAAGCTTTTACAATTTTTCCGACCTTGGAATTTGTAAGTAATCAAAGCTTTTTCCGTGTACGTGACATGCATCGTCATGGTGGCAGGCCGAAAATCGCCGGTCCTCGCCACAACGGAAAGCACCCGATGAAACCGAAGCTACTTCATTCCAAGGAAGTTGAGGATTTGCGCATGCATGCTTCCATGGTTGGAAAAAAATCCCCAAAGATCGTTATCCATGAAGGTAATTATAATACATTAATTCGATAGTTCCTGAATATTTTTATCATTGAAGGTTTTTTTTTAAATAAACTTTAATGAAAGTTATATTCTTTTTCTTGTGATTTTATAAATTTACTGAAAACCTGTGTTGCGTACTTTTCCCAACGAGCTTGTTAATTATATTTATCAAAGCCTATGCAATTCATTTGTTATTTAGCAGGTTGTAAAAATTGTAAATAAATAATAAAATAGGATAAGATATTTTAGTAATAAGATAAGATGAAATAAAATAAAAAAATTAGATGAGATAATTCAATCGAATATTTTCGAGTGTCTCAAAATATAGCTATAACACATCCATATCTCCAACCGCAGCCCGACCAATTTAGGTGTCAAGACCGAAAAAGCTAAATTTCAACAAAGCGTCGGCCTACTTAGAAATGGAGAGTTTTGGATTTGATTTTTAGCTAATATTCAGGTTAAGTTTATGAAAAGAAATTTTTGGGGGAAAAAAGAGACCCATATGAATGACCCCAAGCAATATCCAAGTACAACGCATGTCGGCAAATCTAACTTGCCAAAGTTACTTTCCAGGAACCTACTTATTATTTTAGATTTTGGGAACCTTTCTTTTGAGTGACGCAGTCACAATTATTCGAGTGAAGAGATACTTTAATCCGGCGACCACGATTTGAAGACGTTAATGAGGTCCTACCTCGCTAATGCGCATGTCAAACGCGTTCTTAAATTTGAGGCGCGCGCGCTGTTTGGCAACGCTATTGGTCGACGGAGCAATTGCGCGTTCGCGTGCAACCTGCGCCCGAGCGTTGTGTACCACTACTTTTGGTCTCCGGATTTGTGTGTAGATTTCTATCTTACCAATCAGTGGGAAGTTGTCAGATGTTGGCGGCATCATGTCGGCTGAGATGAGCATGAAGACAGTCAGGGACAGCAGGATAGTGATGCCCAGACCGATCTGTAGACATACGGAGAGGAAACACAAGAATCTCTGAGAGGTATAGAGACAATATTTGTCACCTTTGACATGTGGTTCGGCAAGAAAGACGAGGATGGCAATTGTGATAAACCAGCTCCAACCCAAGCAATCCTCGTTCCCTAAATTTCTTTGTCCTCTTTGAAAAATTCCCCGCTCGCAAAAACCTTTGAGATGTGTTTGTATAATTGGTGACACAAGTGACCATTCAACGATAAACTCGACACAAGAATCAACTTGACAAGTTTCTGTCTTGGAAAAAAAGTTGCATTTATCCCCAATTTTGAGTTTAGGATTGTCATCAATACAAGGAGACCTTGGTAGCAAAGTATAAGCTAACACCGAAACTGCAGTTTCTTCTCAAAACCTTTTAAAGGAGATGTATTTGAATTGCATTTTTCCACGAATCGTCGTAGTGATGTTCCCCTAACACTGCCCTCTGTACGAGCACTTGAAACAGTGCATATTTGAACATGAAACAAGCAGGAGTCGAGCATCGCCTGAAGACGACCGGAGCATAAATCGAAATGTCGAGCCCTTACTAGTTGGATTTCTATTATTTTCACCACTCAAAGGCGACATCTTTCCACCATGTTTCTACCAAACCTTCTCACCATCTTTTTACCGTTAGCGAATTATGCACGTGGGCCTGAAATTACAACACACCCTTTAGTGTTGATATCAAAGTTATGTCCGTTGTTTGTCAATTTTTAATTCCATTCCGATCAAACATTCAGTAGTCGCGCTGTAACCTGTTCTACACGTCGGTTTATTCTTGCGATCAATCTTCGTAGTAGGGTGTTGGAATAATCCAATCTTAGGATGAGACTTCGCGTCGGGGAGATTTAAATTTTAATATTTAGGCCTTTTTAAAGATTTAAAATCTGCCTCTACCTGATGCAGTATTAGCCTATATAAAGGCAAATCTCTATATAACAAAATAGCTGATATCTTCAAAAAAGGTGCCCCACTTTCTAAATTGTGTATTTCAAAATATGTCTGAAATACAACTTTTTGACATCCTCGATTTTTCAATATCGTTATTCATTTAGTTTACGGGTAATATGATTCTAAATATTTATACGATATTCATCACAGCCGCACCTTGTTTTTTTTTAGTTTCCTTTCACCATCATCAGAAAAATCGCGGATTCTTTGTTTGACAGTTCATTATTTTCTTTGACAATGATATGGAAATGATTATGGGATGTCATTCCAGGGATTAGTGTTTATTCGCATGCTACCAGGCCCCTCGGAGTGCCAGGCCGGCCCTCGGAGTTTTGCCATATACGGGCATGCTTATACACGGCGCCCCACCTTCTGAAACTAAATATTTATTGTCGCATTTCTGTTATCTCGCGCCCAGTTCTGCCTCTGCCAGTTTCGTATTTATTCATTCTCTTCAGCGCCTGTCCTTACAGAAACAAAAAGAAGATGGTTCCTCTTTCATCCATCCAGGAAATACATCTTGTTATTTATACCTGTCGAAACTAAAAATTGCAAATTTCTGTTCTTTTTTGTCTTCCCGTTAAGTTTGATTAAGCCGTAGTGTGTAAGTGGAAAACCACCGGATGACAGCAATGGAGTGGTGCGCGGGCTGCGTTTTCATTGGTCAAAACACTCGCGCATTGCCGAATAGTTTCGAAACGGCTCTGCTAACACTACAGGATTGTCCTTTACTGACTTAGGTAGATAAACGTTGTTGACCTTTGTTATAATATTTGTTGATCTGAATTACCACTGGATAAATAAACACATGAATAAAAGTCAAAAAGCTTGTATCAATATCATGGAATATTAAGTTGATGCTCTTCTTAGAACAAAAGCGTTGACCTTTGTACTGTTTTCTGTATCAACTTTTTTACTACAGTTGTTTTAGCTGTATCATTTGCCCAATTATGGCAGTGCGTCTCGAACTGTAATACTGTTTAGATTAGGAAATATAAATTATATTAATAATTAAATATTATAAATTAGGAAATATCTCAAGAAAGACCAGTCCCTTAAATCCAGAATATTTTGTGGCGTTTTATCTAAACGACAGCGAAAGACTTGAACATTTAGAAATATTTTTTTTTTTTTAGAAATTGATCTCATATTTTTATGGAGATAGATAATTGACCGCTCGGCGATAGTCCGAAGTTTCGTTAGCCCGAAGTTTCGATAGCCCGAGGTTCGATAGTCCGAAGGTTCGATAGTCCGAAGGTTCGATAGTCCGAAGGTTCGTTAGTCCGAAGGTTCGATAGTCCGAATAGACGATGAAGTTCGATAGTCCGAATCGACAATAAGGTTCAACTGTCCGAATTGACAGCACTGAACATTATTGTCAATTCGGACTACTGAACCTATATGCTTTCGGATTAATGAACCTTTGGACTATTGAACTTTGTTTTCGTTGCGGACTATAATTGAACCTTCGGGCTAATTAACCTTATTCTAAATTCGGACTAACGAACCTTCGGACTAACGAACCTTCGGACTATCGCATCAAATACTCGGATTAACGAACCTTATTCTATTTTCGGACTATAATGAACCCCAGTTGTGGGAAATTTGTGTGTTCGGATTATCGAACCTTCGGATAGACTTGGGATAGACTCGACTATACAACACTGCCCAGGTGAGGCATTTTTTTCGCTCCGTTTCTTTCTCACCTTTTCGCCCGAGTCACAGGGGAGGCAGAAGCTGAACAGCGTCAGGCAGTAGATGATGAGACACGGCACGATGATGTTCATGACGTAGAACTGCGGCCGTCGGATCAGCGCGATGCTCACGACGAAGTCGCTGAAGCTGCCGTGGTCCTCGTCGTACTCTTCCACCTTGCCTTTCATCTCGGAGATCATCCACTCGCCATGTTCCTCCGTGTCGTTGGCCTGGGATCGGGGTGGGGGGGGGGGGTGCGGGGGAGGTACAGGGATACCAAGGGGATGTAGTAAGCAGGGGGAGGTCAAATGATCAATAAGAATTTGGACCAAGACCAGTTGAAAAAAGGAATCCTGTCCAAATTTTTTTAATAACTTCTTGTATCGAAATTTTAGGTAACTTAATCCACAGTTATATGAAAGACCTTCAATATTATTTACCGGTACTCTTCCCAAACATTCAACAATTATGTTTAAAGAATATGGAACAAAATCAGTTTAAAAAACCGAATCTTATCAAAAGAATTAAAAGAATCTTCGTGTACCGAAATGTTAGTACATTGTACCTTAATCCACATTTAAGACCTTTAACCATTTTCGGCACAATTCCCGTAAATTCAAGAAGCTACGTCTTGTATTGTTGGCGCGTCATCTGTAATACGTGAGCTAAGTTTACTGTGATTTTTCCTGTGACATTTTCAGTGAAGGGAGAAATAACGATTTTTATAACACTTTTGCAAATGTCACTTGTGCAAACGGCAACTCGCACTGTCAAATGAAGTGGAAATTTCACCAAAAACATGAGAAAGCTAGCAGATGTACTTAAAGTTCCCTTGTACTAAAGGCTGCAATTCTTTTCATTCAAATATCATGTTGCCAAAGAAACAATGCTGACATTTTTAGGAACGCTTTTCGGTAGTGCGATGGGAAGATGTTTTGGAGCGGCGCGCGCTGCAAAAGGTTAACCGTCGATCGCCCTGGACGCACGGCGCAACTCATGCCCTCGCTCCGGTAAACTCTACACCAACCCATTGTTCTAAAATCCATTGCAGACGTCAATCAACCATCGACTTAAAGTAGACCTTTTAACTACAAAAGGGTACTATCAATGCCGCAACTGCTGGACATTTAAATGTGCGTACAACCTTAAAGTGGGCCATGCCGAATTAGGGGTGGGTCTTTTTTTAAACCCCCACTAAATACGGGCTTTATGGTATTGAATTGGTCTGATATAAAACGAAAATACACAGGGTTTGTTTGTATTCATATTCGTTCGATTTACATTGAATTCGTCACCGGGGATGAAGATCACTTGTTCCCGCGGGTAGGTCCAGGCGCGAAACTTGAGCTGACAGCTCTGCTCATCGTACGGGAAGAAGGCGAAGTTGATCTTACAGAAGCTCGTAATGACGATGAAGGCACGAAACTCGATCTCACCGCTGGGCTTGACACGGACCTGACGGTCTTCCAACATGAAGTTGACGCTGTCGGCACTGGGTGGAGTGGGTGGCGGGGGGGGGGGGGTGGCAGGGGGAGAGGGTAAGAGGTGTTTGATGGAAGAGTTGTGCAGGTTGAAATTGGTCAAGATTGACTTGATGAAATGGAACTTTATTCCAAAATCGGCATCAGCATCGTCAACATTGTAAGCGAAATCGCCTTCATCAATGCAGTAATCACCTCCGTAATCGCAAAATCACCATCACTATTATTACCACCACCATCACCACCACGATAACCTCAATCATTATCAGAAGATCACCATCATCATCACAACCACTATACATGTATCACCAACATCACCATCATAATCACCTTTATTATCACCATCATCATGACAATCACCGCCACAGTTCTCAGCATCACCACCATAATCGTCACCATTATTACCATCACCACCACTACTATCACCGAAATCACCATAATCATCACCATTATTTTCGACAGCATTACCATCATATTCACCACTATTATCACCAGAATCACCAACATCGCCATAACCATCATCTTCACCAGCATTACCATACATAAAAATTATGAGCACCTTTTACTATAATGACCTGAACCGTCATCTACACCTTGACTACCGTTCTCAACACCACCAATATCACCATCTCCTCCACCAACCTCACCACGGCGACCTTTCATCGCCACGCTCCTCACCTGTTACGCAGCGTGACGTCAGGCAACCACAACTTCGAAGATGGTATTCTCATCTCAGGTACTGCAAAATCGTGTGTATCCCAGCTCAGATACTCATCAATCCAATTCTGAAATTAAAAAAAAACCAAAGGTTTGCCCTGCCCTTGAAGAATAAATTAATTATGCACAGAAATTTAAAAAAAAATATCGAAAGTGTGAAATGCGCTTTCCAACTTGGAACTTAGGCGAGCCATCAGATAACAGACCGTTCGGGTACCGGGTCCGGTATGCTAATTTCTTTCACCCCAATCGGTATGAAGCCAGAAGCCACCCGGTCACTGAAGCGTGACGCCCCAATCGGTCCAAACTGGTGATTCAGGGTTTCACAATAGGCAACATAAATTGAAGTCTAGCCATTGTTGGAGGATTATTTGGCCAGCTGGGATTACCAGCGGCAACTTCTTTGAAGCTCATCACAGTCATTGTTGCCTACTGGAGGATTAGCGCGTCACAAATTGGTTCCTTTGTGATGAGCCAGAGCCATGGTGCAGAAACCTGGTGGAGTTAATCCAGGCCGATCGGTTCCATGCAAGGTCCCAATCCCTTCAACATACTGGGCGGGCTCAACCCCGAACGGTCCGGGAGGGATTCTAATTTGAGGGCTCGCCTTACATGTAACACTAAAACTGGAAGTGCGTTAACATTTGCCACAGGCGCGGATCCAGACGGGGGCACACCCGGCCCGTGCCCCCCCTTTTCGCAACTGGTTTTTTTTTTTTTTTACGAGTCGTCTTAGGGCTGGCGGGCATTAAATACATTCCTTTGAGAACATGGCTGTCTTTTTTGTTTTTGAGGAGTCATTATGGCGGGCGGACGGGCGGTCATCAAATCAATCGCTTTGAACATAACTATCATACATAATTATAAACAAAAATATACAATGTATAAGTTTTGAAGGTAGCCTGTCAATCATTGTCTCAAAATTTATTTCAAAGCAAGAATATATTTTTATAAGACACTTTTGTTTCCCGGCTGGAATTGGGGGCACATTTAATACAGCACTTGCATTTAATGCTTCATGTCAAAATATATTCCAAAATATATTCTAGAGTAGAACATGTACCGGTACACGAAATAATGTAGGCCATGTGGTTTTTTTTAATAAATGAAGAATAAAATCGTCATCCCCTTTTTTATTTTCCCGACCTCAGAGAGAGATTTACGTCTGGTTCTCTAAATATTTTTTTAAAAGCAAAATGATTAAAAAAACCTAGCCCGTTAAAATTTGCACTCTAAGTTAATTCTTTGGTAGATTCCAGGGGAAATTTAATACGAATTATGCTCGGTTTTTCTTATTTTTAAATGAATATATCAGGATTAACAACATCCCTCAAATAATAGCGTCAAAATATATTCCAAAATATATTCTAGAGTAAAACATTTTCACAAAATAATGTAGGCCATGCGTTTAATTTTTTAAATACACGAAGAATTAATCGTCATCCCTTTTATATTGTCCCGGCCTCAGATAGAGAGAGACATCAAATAAATAGGGGTTATTTTAATACGATTTAGTATGTCTTGTTCTCTCGATTTATTTTTAAAGTAAAACGATTTCAAACACCCTAGCCCATTAAGTTCTGAACTCTCAGTTAATTCTTTTGTAGATTCCAGGGGAAATTTTAATACGAATTATGCTTAGTTTTTCCTAATTTTAAAAGGAATACGAATAAGATCATCAACAGCCCTTTGACTTCAAACTTAATTTCAAAATGTATTCCGAAATAATTATATTCTAGAGTAACATTTACAAGAATAATGTAGGCCATGCAGTTTTATTTTTGAAATAAGCGAAGAATAAAATCGTACTACGAAAAAAAGACATCGGGAGCCCTACATTTAATGAATTATTTGGACTTGGAATATCATCCCCCAATCGTTTATCTATGTGCATGTACACAACACGGAGGTGAAATTTCACGTTCAATTCAGTTTCCCACATTTTTCGCATAAAGTTTTTCCCTGTCTCTGAGAAAAAAATGCCCAAATAAAATGTCAGCTCCGAAAAGTCTTTCCAGAGAATGATTGATAGCCGCATTGTTCAAATTGATACAATGCCACTCTTGTTCGTTACAAAGCATATACATTTGGGCTCAGCTGTAGGCCACCGAACTTTAAGGCCTTTGAGAACTTGCCGTCAGTAATTGGAAGATTCTTAGATGATAAACAGTGATGATAGTATCTCAGCCAATGAAATGAGCCGGTTCCCGGCAAATAAATATGCCATTGGTTGCTTTCATCACGAACCGTCTGCTTTCATGAATATGACTTCCTTCCACGCGCAACTGGAGCGATTAGCTATCTGAGCCACAGGTGCATGGCTGCATGCCCGTCACATTCCAACCTGGTTGCTTGGAAATACTGTTGCTAGGAGGCTCCCCTGTGATGCCTGGGACTGCCGGTTGTGTAGCCAGAAATCTTTTATGTGACTATTTTGAAACCTTGTATGTGAAAGCGGCAGCTCAGGAATGCTGCCGCTTTCGGGAAATTTGTGCTGGCAAAGTTTTTTATATTTTGGAAATTGGAATTTGGATGCAGTTTGCATTTCCGTTAAATCATAGCTGTTTTTTGGTTTTCTTTTTTTAAGAAAATCGGAGCCCCTCCCAAAAAAATACAAATAAACGATTTTCCTCAGGCCTTGACATTTCTTGAAGTGATTCGACAACACTTGCAGAATGCAGACGATTCATTTCGTCTTAAATTATTTAGCCTGCAGACTTCAAAAGAACATGGAAAAAATGGTGGTTAAAGTGTATGCAAGTGTATATACAAATTAAGTATATATGACCGCAGTTACCACACATTATACTGGGACTCAAAAGTGAAGCCAATCACATCCGCGCGAACTCGATTTACACCATAAACAACCCCCCCCCCCCCCCACACACACACACACACACACAAACGGGATGATAATGGAGAAAATACGAATTGAACTAAAATCACCAATTACATTACATGGTAAAAGAAAGAAAATACCAGGAGAGGGGCAAAACGAAAAGGATATTATTAATGATGATGGAAGCAAAAAAAAAAAAAAAAAAAAAATGAAACGACAATAACATCAACCAAAATGGGGTGGTGTGGGGGTAGGGGCTGCTTGGGGCCAAGGGCGGATCCAGGGGGGGGGGGCCAAAGGGGGCCATGCCCCCCCCCCCCAAACGAAAGCATTTTTTTTTTTTTTATATATATGACATCGCAAAAAAGGCAGGCAATGAGTACACCACCATCTTTTCCTCAAAAAAACATTGGTTAAAGTGGTAAGAAACTGCCTCAGATCGCACCACAGAGCACCTAGAATCCAAAAAATTTTCGGGGCCCTTAAGCGGGCCCCGAACCCCACGCCGTAATTTTTTTGACCCACTTTTTTGGAGGACCAAATTTGTTTTTGGCCCCCCCCCCCAAAAAATTGTGTTCTGGATCCGCCCTTGCTTGGGGCAGGCTGTCCCCTAATGAAATTCAATTTATTTTATTTTCTTTGTTTGCAAGGCAAATTTCTGGGTAGAAATGTATGTTTTAATAGTAAACATGACTTTTTTTTTGGCTCGCTCGCTCCGCTCGCTCGCAAAATAACACATTTCATTTTTTTTTCACCCGGGGGCTGTCATCAGCACCTTCTAATTTTGGGGTTCATTTTCAACTAACATCAACAGTGACTTTATATTCTATATTTGATAGGAAAAAAAAAGTATTATCAAAATTAAAAAATAAACATTGTGAATTTTGCTCTTAATGGCTTAAAATACTCATGATGTAGGAGAGAACATCTAAAATCGTAGAGCTTCCAGTGCCCTCAACCCCGCCCGCAAGGGATTTCGCGCTTCAGTCTCGTTATGTGTGCAACGCGCACAAAGTTTTTGTGCCCCCCCTTTTTGAAAATCCTGGATCCGCCCCTGATTTGCCACACTATTTATATATTAACTAACTATTCATTATGTATTTAGTGGGGAAGTCTTGATTTGTGACATTAATTTGTCGCTCTTCTGGGATATTTAAATTAGGTTTTGAAGAATTGTAATACCCTTTCTTCTTGACACCTTTCTTGTTTTACACAAAATTTAATGCCTGGAAATGCTAAATTTACCGTGCAAACCAGTCGGTTAGATAACTAAATGGAATGTACAACAATCGTCTTTCATTTCACAGATGCAAAATTCTGGTGTTTAGGCTATAACAAACGTGCCTATATGAATCTATTAGTGAATTCAATTTGTATTTCTTTTTAACCTATTTTGATGATTTTTTCCTTACTCCAGATGAGGCAATTTCATGCTAGTTTACCCCCTCATAATCCTTGAATAAACATAAGGTATATATATAAATATCAGGTTAGGGAAAATAAGGTTTTTGCGCTTTGTACATAACATTTCTGCTAAATTAATGGCTAGGCCTGCTGTGTAAAAAAAAAGATATTGTTATTATATTGTTAAAGGGAAGATACAACATTTGCAAACATCAAAAACCGAAATAATCAAATTATCATGAAATACCTTACTGGATTGTTAGGGAATGACAGTCTAAAGCATCCTGTAAAATCGTGGCTCCTGGTGTACTGACATTTTCAAGAAAAAATGTATTTTTCCAACGCTGGTCGGCCGACCAGCATTGGAGAAAACTTTTTTTTCTCTCTCAAAAACTGCTCCTAATTGACATATTTAGTTATTCCGCATTTTCTTTGCAATTGATTACACACCTGTGAAGGGGTACAAGCCTGCTAGACTGATTCTCTGACTTTATAATTTCCCCAAAGTCTATAAATTGCTCCGTTTCATCTTAAGTGGGGTCAGGGAACTAGACTACAAGAACATGATTGGTTTTCTTGGTTTTTCCAGCGTCTACAAACCCAAAAAGTGAAACAAGTCAGTTTAACAATATTTGCTATAGTTACTAATCCTCAAAATCCATTTATTTCTGAAAAATGCAGCAAAAGCAAATGTTGTACATTCCCTTTAAACTATTCACGAAAAAGCAAATATTATTTATTTCCAAGCTCAATGACAAAATTAAAAATACGAAAAAAATCTGAATAATTTTTTAAACAATAACTGACACACAAACAAAAAATCCCCACAAAAACTCCAATCATAAATGTTTCTTTTGTTATCTGTCAATCATTCATTACATTTTGTTTTGATCAGGAAGTGTGTTCAATAAAAATATGAATCCTATACACACTTCCGAAAGTGAAGGTATAATTTTAGACAGCTTTGTTGATTCAAACAATTCCTTTATCCGAGGTTACGATACCGCAGTCACGGGACAGAGAGTATTGTTATACATAAATAAAGATCTTCCCCGAAGGAGGCAATCATAGTCACAGAGTTCATTATAAAATTCGCGTTCAGATTCTGTAATAATGTTGGAAGGATTTTTAAATGCACTTGAAACGCACTGAGATTACAACAAACTACTTAAAAATTGTTTGTTTTATCTTAGTACGTTTCAAATTCATCCGAATTTACTGCGCCATCATTTTTTCCTTCATTACAATATTGGATGTCGGTATAAAAAAAAACACGAAACCCAAATGTCGGGAGTCGGGACTATTGTTTTAGTGAAGTTCTGCATGTAGCATGTAAAATCTAGGATATGAAAGCCCAATTCATAAGCTTTCTTTTAGTACAAGAATCATTCAAATGACTCATGTACTTTTCAAGTTACGGAATTTTAAACATGGCCACCGTTTAAAGTTCTGTCCACGGATCACACAAAAGGTGTGCTTTCTATCAGCAAAACGAAAACAATTCACATACATCCCTATGTGATTTGTTTTCGCTTTGCTGAAAGAACACCGCCTTTTTGTGATCTGTGAACAGAACTTTAAAACGATGCTTGTGTTGAAAAGTCCGTAACTTGAAAAGTACATGAGTGATTTTAATGATTCTTGTATACTAACAGAAAGCTTATGAATTGAGCTTTCATATCCGAGATTTTGAAAGTGCTACATTTAGAACTTCACTACAACAATGGTCCCGACATTTTGGGTTTCGTTTTTTTTCTCTTTTTTACTCACCCTGTATAGATGGATTGCATTTAGCAGCCATATTTGAGATGTGTTTTGTTATGTTAATTCATTAACAATGAATACACAAGAGGTCTAAGCATGCGTACCCCTGTTGAACAAAAGCACACACCTCAAACATGGCTGCAGTGCAAACGCTCTATTAATTGTGTCCAGTGTCCTTTGACCTTTTAGTGCTCTCAGGCTCTGTGGTACAGCCCAGCAGGGTGACCGTTTTAGCCGATTTTTGGCTAACTTTGACAGAATTTTTGTTAAAAAACTGAGTTTGACAGAAAATTTGACAGAATGGATGTTTTTGGGCAGATTTCTAGCAGAATTCTGCAAAAATGGTTATTTGACAGAAAAACAGCAAATTTGAACACAAAATGGTACATCTGTTTAAAAAAGCTTCAATCCTTTCAAACAAACCCTTGCATAATGGGACAGGTTGGCTGGTCTGAGGTTCACTGGGAAACGGACTTCGTCGTGGCCGGATCCGTATTTTGCCCGAAATGTTCGCGATAATTTCATAACATCTTTATGTGACTAGGCCCTATAGATTGTTTATAATGTAATTTGAACCTTAATTAAGGCAACACTTCCAATCTGCATGTGATTTTAAGTGTTAATAGTGTATTTCGAGTACTTCTGGGGAATTTGGTAGATTTTTGATAAATCTGACAGATTTTTGATGTGAATTTAGCAGAATTTGGCTCTGACCTTACGTTCACCCTGCAGCCCAGTAAATAGGCCAAAAATCCGTCCGCCGAGCTCATGAATGGCACTCACCTAAAGCCCGGACTTGGGGCTTCCACTTCTGAACATTTTGGATGCAATTGGGTCCGAACGTGGCGCTATTTAGCCATGTCGTGGAGGGATCCTTTTACAAAATGGCTTCTTTTCCAGTTTGGGTAACATTCGTTATATGGGTGGTGTTCTTTGGGTGAGAATTTCTCGAAAAGTCAATGGTCAACCCACCAAAAATTGAAAAGAAAATGAAATATGACATGTTGGTCATCAGTTTTCTGTGCAGCCCGATTACCTGTGAGAGTGGTATTTTTTTAAAAAGAATTTTGAAGTTTGGGGATCTAACCTGGTGTTTTGGGGAATTTTATTTCTTGGGTGCTGGGAGTTGGAAGAGCGGTGAAGTTGACATAGCGCCCTCTATCGTTCTGCTTTGCAGAATCAATTTGTGACAAAATTGATACACGTAGGTCTACTTACAATAGCTTGGGCTATAAAAATTTCTTTTAGCTTGTTTGTCAGTTTATTTTGATTCTAACTTCCAACCCCTTTATATCCCCAATTTATATAACAGAATGACTACGATTTTTAAATCGAAGCTGTGCCGAAAACGGGTTCAACAAAAGCAATGCGGTTAGTTGCGAGCAACAGAGGGCGATGTTTACAACTAATGGAATCAGTTTTGAGCAAAAAAAAGTCGGCTCGTTGCGGAAGAGGAAATTCGTATCATGTTGCTGCTTAGCCATCACTTTCAAGCATGATAGGCAATACATCGAAACAGAGTTTTTTAATAATATGTGCAACGATAAAAAAGAGGGCAGTGTTTACCATAAACGGAGACTGCCTCAATTAAAATGTCAACTCATTGATAAAGATGACAACTCCTTTGCTTGTCATAAACATCGAAGTGTGTACATATTACTGGTATTATAGACGATAATAATTTGAAGCAAGACTAAGTTTGAAATCATTTTACTCCGTCTAAAACAATCGAGGCCTCAGAAATCCAGTGTCCAAGAGCCTCCCTATAATGACTTTATCACTAGTTCACTGACACCTGTGTTCATTTTCACCGTCTCCTATATACCCTCCTTCGCGCTTCAATGTCATCTTAGACACGCTCCATCAATTTCAGTAGGCTGATGATGGAGGAGTCGGCGTGTACGTCTTGCCAAGACACAGAACGCGGCAACTGTCACTGATGCGTTACGCATACTGATAATGATGTCATAATCATAAATAAATAAAGCCGTATAGTGCTGTGGTACCTGTAGTTTTGTGTGAGCATCAAATTATTTTGCATGAAATTTCCATCTACTATAGCAGCTGCACTTGGAATTTCAAGGACTGGCTGCAACCAATCAGATCTATTGTTAATGATTGTGACTGTACAGTAACGCTCTCTCTGATTGGACGGCGACCTGGTGATGACGCTACGCGTCATTTTCTTGTAAATAATATGGATAGATTGGTCAATTTGCATTGAATATAAAAACACTGCGCACAGTCAAAAATACTTACCAGAATTACTGTCACTTGGGTTTTCAGAAGTTGTTTGGGCTCGTCCTAAAAATGGAAGAAAATATACACAATAAAAGTAGTTTTTCATTTAAATAAGAATTTGCAATGTTTTAATGCTATAGAAAATGTACCTTTGTGTCCAATTAAACCTTCTATTTTCGTTTTGCGATTTGTGCCTTTTTTAATGTTGCACCTGTTACAACACAAAAAAGCTTCTAGAATTTAGGATATTTTGCTGTCATACATTTTCTTTTCTTAGGTGATTCGTTGATGTGTAAGACAAGTACATTGCAGTAAAGCCAATGAACAACCCTGAGTGAGTCAGTGGCCGAGTAAGTCAATTAGTCGGGGAGTCAGTCAGTCAGTCCGGTGAAAAGAGCGCCAAGAAAATCACGCTAGTTACCAGGTCGATGATGGCGTTAAGCTCCAGACCAAACTTCACCGGGGTCGGTTTGGACTGGTCTTTGGTGGGCCGTGTGTGCTCCGGGTAGACCGAGTCGTTGAGGAGTGTCTTGAGGAGCCTGACGTGGTCATCTACCCCGGAGTCTCGCGCTGAGGGGCGGTTCCTAGGGTGTGGCGAACCTACGACGGGGTGTAGAAGGAAGAAAGGGACTTCGGTTGGATAATAGTGACAAAAATATGTATTGAGAAATAAGCTTTCAGTGAAACAAAGCACATCTTAAAGCGCTAAATATTATGTAAAGATGTACTAAAAAGACAAAAAGGGTACCAAATAAAAAAAGAAGGTCTAAAAAGATGGGGTGTGAAGACAGGACATCAAAATATCAAACTGTTTTGCCTTTATAGATGTGCCAAAGATATCTGAAATGTTTGACGTTTTATATTGGGTTTTTACCTTCGTCGACGTATATATAAATAGCGTTTACTCAGTGTTTTTTTATTTTGGAATTAATTTAGGAGGGGAAAAACAGGCGATTCTCACTATCAAAAGCAAAATTATTTGTTAAGGTATAAAGAAATATAAAGAATTAGATTTATTGGTTTAGAATCCATGCCGCAATTGGAATCCATGCTAAAGCCTTTGGACGAAACGCCGAGATTGGTGTGGTTTTATTAGTTAATTAGTAATAGGCTTGTCTTTCTCAGTTGAAAATCTTTCTCAATTTCGTGTATTACTCATCGGTTTCACAGTTGAAACGCACCCACCTGATTGGAAGGATCCCAGCAGGACTAGAAGGGCGAGGCACACCGTCCAACGACGCATTTTGTCCCGTCAAACGTGGGCTTGGCCGCTCGCTGACGCAGTCCAAAAGACGGTGATTATAAACGGCGACTGTGATAAGATGCTAGCAGGCCGGTACACACAGGACCTCAAGCCTGTCTTCGTCGATGTATTAATTGTAGATAGGAGGAGCCAAAAAATCCCAAGATGGCCAGAAATCGAAAGATGAACATCGGACAACTTCAGCAGCCGACTATTCCTTAAACCAAACAAGTTCAGCCTAAAATCGCAACTGCAAATGTTTGAGTCTAAATTGCTTTCAAACGAAATGTAGTCTTCAACTACGCTCTTGCTGCAGGCTAAAGGACTGCAGAGCGTACCGCAACAGTAGCTGCACCGACTTGTTTCAATGTTTTCGAGCGTCAAATGCACGATCAGACGCACGAATAGGCTAACGAGGCTTCCACCGCCCCCGACGTCACCTGGCATCAGCGTATTTGAAAGGTTAAGGAAAGACAGTCTCCAAGATAAAGCAAGGAAGCTGTTGACGTAGATGGAGGTGAACATCCAAGGTAGTCGACGAATCGTGCCAACTGACGCGATTGGATTAGAGACCATGCGTTTCGGCCGCAATTACTTTGTTTCTGCAACCAAGTATAGGCATTGACCATAATGCGCATGCGTCAGTTGTTCACTGGATGAATTCTCGGACAGACTTGAACCCCCCCCCCCAAAAAAAAGTCCCCCAGAACCACGAATCCGAGATAAAAGAAGTAATAATTTCATTGAAATAATATTATAGGACTCGAATAATCACGATAAGCGAAAGAAAAGGTTTTTTTTAGGGGGGTGGGGTGTGGTGGAGGTCACTTGGATTTAGTGTCCAGTGTATAGTGATTTTTATTTCGACATCAAAACCGTATCTATAGAGTAATCACAAATCACGTGATAGGGCCTACATAGTTTCAATCACGTGATGTTTCACGCATGCGTGTTACGGTAAGTAACTATACTTGGTTGCAATTTGAAAATCGTAAGTGTGATTGGAAACCAGGTGCTACTGTCTTGACAACCACTTGTGCCCTCCCAATTTTTCTTCACTCGCACCAGCCGTCCCTCGACCAACCCCCCCCCCCCCTCCCCCGAGTCCATGCATCAAAGTCTTCTCCAGCCCTGTCTTCGTTTCCGACGGCCCGGTCTAGCGGAACGGAGCAGGAGCATGTGGCCGGCTTCCCCAGTCCCTTATCAATATTTCATGGGTGTTTTTCTCGGTCTCCGCGAGCTGTGAATGTCACGTCTTGGCTTAGCTGGCCGGGCCGGGAGGACACCTAACTGCTCTATACCGGGCCCTTCATCAAGTTTTTGTTTAATGATTATTTGATGACGCTCACGCAACATTAAAGGCAGGATAATATTTGTTCGGTTCCAATAATAGCACCACTCAAAATGCAAAGGAGAATGTTCAAAACCTTACCTGTTGACGTTTCAGCTAAGTGGATGCTAAACTTTTGGAATAAAAATTGAAAATCATGCACAACCATTTGGTCACGAAACACTCATTTGATCATAAAGCACTCTTTATTCCTAAAATTCAGTCAGTTGACTGATCGTTGGAAATTTCTTGATTTCTTCCAAATGACGAAATCCATGGTGTTTATCAGTGCGATCTTTAATCCAAGATATGTTTAAAATACTTTTGGAATAACTGCAAATGATCATATGGCCTTTAAACAATCAGTAACTCAAGGTAGAAGCCCGAGGTATACCTCGCAAAACCGTAAAAATCGAAGTAGTTCATGTGAAAAAGTACGATATAAACACGACGATTTATCAAAAGATATAACTCCTCACTGTTTTATTGTTTTAATACTTGACGTTAAGAACGTGCAGTGACCATTTTTTGACGCGCCAGTACCTGACAGGGAGGTGGTAGTTTCGCCGTCCAGGCGAGGCCGCAAGGTGAGAACAATCTCCCCTTTGATTTATCCGAGTAGCTCGCTGATCCGGAGGATCCTCGGGGAGTTTGCCAGTAGGCAAACAAGGCAAGGCCGAGAATGATGATGAGGCAAGGAGATGGCGGAGGGAATTACAACCCATGCGTCTCCCTGAGGATGCCGGGATGCATTATTCAGGGCATGAAACCTCCCGCGCACATCCGTCTTGATGCAGGTATATACGGGACACCGTCTTAATGATGCATGCCTTGCCAAGGTGGCTGGCTGTCTGGGGCGGGGCGAGATGGTCGGTGGCTTGACCCCGATAAGCGTTAGCGATAACATCCAGCGTAAATGGTTCAAGAGAGGAATTTGACCAACAACAAAAAGTCGGATTATGAAAGATGATAGATTGCAGCTGATTGGATGTTGTGGTCACGTGATGCCAATTTTCAACAAACTTTATCTTGTGTACCATTTGAAATGTAACTGGTGTAAAATTGCTGACATAAACTGTTTAATATGGGCAAAATAACATGCCAAAGATGCTCAAAATTATAATTTTTTCGTATTGGGCGAGACCACAATTCGCTGAGACACCGTTTGGGTTTTTTTTACTTAGGCATACAGAGTCTGATTATTAATCATTTTCCACAAACGTGCGAAGTGGCACAACAGCTCAACATGGGGATTGCCCTACGAAACAAAATTCCAAATACCGTTGAGCGATGCTGTGACAAATTTGTTTCGCTTTAAGCTGACATAAAGCCGCTGCAACCACCGTGACTCTAATACCGAGTCGCAAATTCCGCTTCAAACTCGCTTGTTCATGGATGAGAGGTCGGTTCAATCTAGAAGGCGTGACTGCAAATACTCAAGACACTTTTATTCAAACACATGCATTCATCAGTTTTAAAAGGAACAACAATTACGCTGGAAACTTTAAGAGCAGCATTCCTGAAAGTTGATTTAAAACATAATTAAAACGCTGTGGTGCGTAGACGAAACATGAGCCCTTAGCGTCGCTTTAGAAAGTGCATCCGCACGCACGGTATCTCTTTTTCAATTAATTCTCGAACATTTTCAACGATTTTTTAATTAAACATAATTATTTGAAGTTCAATTAGTAGTCAGTCGTGCGTGACAGTAAGAAGACTTGAACATCTGCTGAGGCTGACGAAGTTCTTTTTTTCCCCGACGACTGTTGGGTGTTTTATTATTACAGACCAACCGAGGGCTAATTGTGTTAAGGAGCATGCGATTTTCTTCAAGAATCAAAATGTGAAAAATCATACCATGACAAAAAGCAAATTGGAAAAAGGAAAAAAAGGTTTTGATCAGAGATAATTTCAGCCTTCACTCAATCAACCCCCCCCCCCAGTTTCCTGAAAGCTAGATCCGCCCCTGCCGTATAGCATCACACTTATTCGCATATGGGCAATTCCACGGTTACTCACGTTAAATTTTTGATGTACTTTTGAGTTTCCTTGTGCTGTACTACCTTACTGAAAAGGTTTAATAACTGTTATCCCCATGGTAGATAGAGTAGACCTAGACCTGCCTAAGCATCACAGATGACTCTCCAGAATGGGATGTATGGGATAAACAAGACACACAAAATCGGTTACTCACGTTACGAAAATGTAACATGAGTAACCGTGGAATTGCCCATATACGTGATGAGGCATTCCAAATTCAGTTTCGGCATCGCGCAGCTAGCTACGTGCACTTTGGTAAGGAAAGCCAGAAAAGGAACAAAAATTAGACTACAAAGTTCTAGGCCAAAAGTGTTCTTACTGTACAGTCATTGTTTTACTGTGCTGAGAAGATTACAAAATGGTTCCTCGTGCTATGGCGATTTTCACCTCTTTTTTTTCAATTGCTATTTTCTTAGAAATATAAAAGTTATTAAATATTGAATGAGACAACGAAAGAAAAAAACCATCGAAGTTTAATTATTGACTTATTTCTTCATAAAATTCGAATTTTTGGCTGCCAGACAATCATTTGTGCGCAAAATGAAATTCCTATTTCACAGGATTGCGTGCAGACGCCCACAGTCGGAATGAAGTAGTATGTTTTCGTTAAAAGGGAATAACTTCCCTTTTTTACTTCAGAAAATCATTTTAAGTTAACCTATAATTTATTGTTTTTGAAATAATGACGTACTATTAAGAGCACGTCATAGGGCCATAAAACATGCCAGTAAAAAAAGAAGGATGTGTGCGTGGCGTGGACTATAGCTTGGGACGATACCAAACACTTAATGGGCCTTAGTCACAAGTCGGCCATATTGAATTGAAAGTGAGGTAAAATCTTAATTTTTGGAACTTGCGAAGAGAAACGAAAACAAGTTAATTACTAATTAATACCAGTCTGCTTCAATGAATAATTTAAAATTTGGAATTAAACATTCCCTAATGTTTAAAGCCAGATTTAAAAAAAAATGGCAGTAAAATGAGGCTGCATAAAATAGTCTGGCGCCATCTCATTCAACAGTTAACACTATATGAAATACATTAAGGGAACTCGACAAAAATGGCCAACTTGTGCATAAGGCCCATTGTCCTCAAAATTCGCGTGGATACTGCAACCGCACCTGATCCTTAGACTAGATGTAATGCGATCTTATTTGTTTTCCAATATTTTCTCCGTAAAAGTAAGACATAAATGGGTGAATTTTTCGTGACCCAGATCTTTGAAATATGGCTAGCAAACAACTGCATTGCCAGTGTGAAAACACTAAATTTTGTTGGCTGTCCCGATTTTGCTTCTATATAGGCTCCCGATTTTGCGCTTAAAATCTCTAGCCCATTGCACTCTGCCACTCTGTACCCCTGGCCCCGCCCCCTTACGCAATGAACTGCATACCGCCTTTTTTTTATACACCGCTAAAATGAAAAGCGCCACCTATCGATGCAGATGCAACTGTAATCTGCGCCTATTTGGCATGGATATGCATGAGCTTGATATCGCAAAAATGAATTCCTCGCTGCATTTTGCTTCAAAGATGACAAATAACGTTTCCTCTAGGGCCAACTCTGAACATGAATAAGAAATGAGTGAAAGTTTTACTCGGTTACGTCTTTAAATTTCCTCCACTCACCACTCTTTTAAAGTTTTTTGTCTTTTCACCCCCTCAATTTTTGGAGCACCCCCGGCCCTCCACACACATACACAGTGTGACATTTGTATCGTTCCGACCCTTAGAAAGACGTTCACCGTTGTAGGTCCCATTTTGCCAATTAAAATGTCTCTCGATCGAGTCATTACAACGATGAAAAGGACAGAACCCCCCCCACCCCCCCACCCCCCGCGGAAGAAAAAAGTTTGTTACCGCTCATGAATAATTCATAGTATTCTGGGTTCTAAATTTGTTTCCTACGACAGTACTATAAATTGATATAAATTGTCCAAACAAAAGACCTTAATAATCAGAATATATTGACATACATTTTTTCTTTAGAAAATGAGTGAAAATTTTTTTTGCTTCTCTTTTTTTATTTGGAAATCCTACTCATATAGTTTGGAACATGATCCTGTACAACAGTGGGAAACTAAATTTTAAACACACACACAGTACACATGTACAGCCATGTTGATGTTGGATCCGTCATCAACGTCTCAGAAAAAGTGCCAGTATTTTCCGTGTTTCTGTCCTTTTTGTGATGTAGCGACTGTAAGATGTTTACTGGCGCTACGATAAGGTAGTATAGTACACACACTTCTTCATTTCGGGATTTCCATCCCCAAGAACGGATGTATTTTTAGGGTGAATTGATCGTAAGTTTTGACCCGGGCGGGCTGAAGACACGCCGTACGCAAGCTAGATCGCCCACGAAGTTTTCTTGAAGGAGGGTCGGCCGTGCGTAACGGGAGCAGATACCGCAACAAGGCTGGGCTTTATGGACTAGCTCTCGGACTCTGTGGATTTATGCTGAGGTATTACTGCCGTGAAACCACACAAAAGGCTCATTCTGCTTGCGCTGGGAGTTCTTTCTTTGCGGGGCTGATTGTTACTTGCAAGGAGGATCTTAAGTGGTGAGCGTAGACGGTGTAATTTTCAGACGTAGAAGTTTCAAGTTTTATTTTGTAACTAAAAAATCGGAATGTTCACAAAATTCTATGTTTTCAGAACCAACTGATTAGAGTATGTTTTTTATTGCATGATGATTAGAGCAAACTAGTTGTTCACTTACCTTGCATACAAAATTGATATTCTCTTTGAGTTTGATAGAGATAGAAGGGCAAACATTCTCATAGTTGTATGAAGTAAAAAAAAAAAAAGACAGAAAGAATTTTTAAATTTGAAATTTTACAAAAAGAGAAACTGAATATATGCCAACTATTATTATTAATCATTTCTGGTAATGAAACCAAGGATTCCTCAAAAGCGCCTTAGGCACTGTAGCTCGCAAGCCTGAAGAAACCTGTAGAGAGAAGACAATGAGAAGAATTTACAGTTTTAGAGGTGGGAGGAAAAGCCCAGAAGAATATTTTGGGGAAAACCCACGGAATCAGGCAGGGACTGAAAACCCAATCCACATAGGGCCTATTGGCCCAGGCGGGATTCATACCTGGGTCGCAGCGGTGGAAGGCGAGGAAAGTACCGCTACGCCAACCTGACCCCCCAAAATGACTAAAATGAACTAATCTATTGGTTATTGCTTGTGATTTTTCCCCATACATTTGACCAGCTCCACATCTAAACAAAGTTTAGGGTTTTTATCCTTGGGCATAATGAAAAGACAAAACAGATTGAATGTTGTTTTATTATAAATTATAGACTAAATTATAGACAAAAGAACATTTCAGAGAGATTGCACAAGATAGATGGAAAGTATATGTTGTATCCTGATGCCACTTTTTTCCCCATCATATATATCATCTCAATGAAGGTCACTCATTGCAAAAATGTTGATAAGACATGAATCTGGGACTGAGAAACATTTCCAATTTTGTTAGGGAATACTTTGAAAATGTTCTTGACTTTCCATAGACTGCACACAAACGCTAAATCCTGTGTATAATAATATTTGTGAGCATGTTTAAGCCAAAATAGAACCATTTCAAGAAATCACATTATAAACAGTTCAGATGTCATTCCTACAGTTTAAAGGATTGTACTTCAAGTTGTTAATGTGTAAAATCCTAAATTTTGAAACCCAAATTGAAAAGACTGCTAAAATACCATACTTTAAAAACCTTTTCTTTAACCATATCATTTTTCATTGCATTATATTACTATTCACGTTTTTGCTAAGAAAGGCAGCATTTCTGGTATTATCTGTAGAAATTTGCATAATTTTTTTGGAAAGTTAAATATCTTAAAAACTAGGCAGTTCCCTTTTTTTATCTGAGGGATACGTAAAACTCGTGTTGCTAAGTTGATACTTAAAAATGAAATTTCTAATAAGTAAATTGTTCCCCTCTCAAGATGACACTATACATGTACACAAACATAATTTCGTGTACTAAAAGGATGAAATTATCTTGGTTTTCAACTTGTTTTAAACCCTTTAAATGCATCTTTTGAAATTGTGAGTTCTAAACAAACACAAGTTGCCGTATTGCTGGCATCATAATAAAACCACATAAAGTCTAGTCAACATTCTGTGGTCTGTTTCTCCCACTCCTTGTAGATTTGTTTCACGTGACCTTTGAGGTCAGAGGTTAGCATGGGTGCCCTTTCGCTGGAGGCAATTTGAAGTGGGACGATCGCTGATCACATAAATAAATCCCATATTGTCAATATTGGTTTATATAAGAAATTGTGATTTAGAATGGGCCAGCGCTGAAAGGCCGGCACGGAGTGTGGCTAGCATATAAACAAAGCAACATGGTACACATATTTGGTCTGATTATCAATAGTACAGACGGAATAAATAAAAAGTGTAATGACATTGGTTTTATGCTGGAAAGAAAACCTCACCAATTTTATTAAGAACAATACTGACATGTTTATTATGCTTGTACCTAAACATGACTGCGTGTAAAATTACAAAATGAAAATTGTGCTTGTGTTAATGAAATTGTTAGTATCCTGTGATATGTGTTCAAACAAGAAAGGAAAAAGAAGTAAAAATCTTAATGGTTAGAGGTCTTGATGTTTTGATCTTAAAAGAATCTTTCTAAATTATAGCTTAGGCATTTTAAAACGTTTTGAATTTGCTTAGATGAAAGCAGTACATTTGGGTAAATCTATACTGCATTTGGGGTCCAAAAGTGCGACATTTTAGTGTCCCAGTTACACTTGACCTGTGTGTAATTTGACATGGAAATATTGAAATTGACTTCAAACTATTTTTATTTGTTAATAAGCAAGTACTCTGCATTATCAATCTTGGAGGTACGGTAGAAGGCATTAACCCTAACCGCCCTTCAGGAATCCTTCAAAATCCTCTTTGCCAAAGTGGAGGCATTTGGAGGATTGGGGTTACATGGCAAATGTGCGTTACTGATTTCGTAGGATCATGGTACGTGTAGGATGCTCTTTGTCAAGGTCTTGGGCCGGACCTTGTGTTGTTTTTGCTCAGCCATGCATAAATGGATTATGCTTGAAATCCTCCGTACTGCTCCAGGATGTCACTGGCCAAGCCTCATTATATTGACAGTCACTGCCGCAGGATTTTGCAGGATTCAGGCAGTGGTCACCCCTCCATGGACCATATTCAAGAAATAATAGAGGAATTTGCAGGATTTAGGCAGTGGTCACCCCTCCATGGACCCTATTCCAGCAGGAATTTTCAGGATTGAGGCTATCTAGGCCTACATGTTATATTTCCATGAGGCCAATCGGAGGATTTTGCAGGATTGAGGCTTCATCCAAGCAAAAAGGCCTAGGGAGTTAAAGAATATGTTCTGAATTGACAAAATCGTATTTGAGATGTAAAGGGGGCAACCCCCCCCCCCAAAAAAAAAAGTTGGACCTGAAATTTATAGAATGACCCATTTGCACAGTTAATTTCTTTCTTCACCTAGCAGTGAGTTACAGCCTGTTCTGTATGTGTACATGTACATGTACGGTAGCTGGAGTAGTTATGACTTATAAAATCAAATATTCAGTCTTGGCACATTACCATAGCCAACATAAAAACAATGTACACACGCATCATGAAGCAATTAATGTTTGAACCAATGGAAGGATACATGTCTTTGTTTTTTTGGTAGTCTTGGCTTTAACGAGCACCTCTCGGAATGAGAGGAATTTCTGAATCTAAACTGTCCAAAAAGGTTGATGGATGGATGTGCGGACCAACTGGGAAATGTCACGTTTGTTTAAAGTGCCAAACATAAGGCACAACCGTTTTACCAACCCAACCACAAGTAAAAAAGCTGAGTTTTTTTTTTCAGGGTTAGTTTGATTTTTATAATAATTTGAAGAAATCTAGTACTGATGATCAGTAAATAGAGAGCACACCAAAAACAAAACAAGAAATACATGTACATGTTCCCCTCAAAAAAAATAGATCAAAATATTCTTTTTTTAATTTATTTCAAATTTTGCATTTTTATTTTGCTGTTAAAAACTTATATTTTGTGTTTTACTCTGAAAGAGTAAATCCTAGATGCCTTGGATAAAGAATATAAAAAAAGGCTTTGATTTAGGCCTATTCAAATTACATGTTAAGTTAACTTAAGGTTTCCTTTTTAGTTTGACTACAAAGTACAAGTGAACAACTATGACAACATTGTTGTCTGGTTCCAGTGTTGACAGCACACGTTTCTATTCTGTGAATTTCCCAAAGGCACAAATATAAATAGCATTTTTTCCACCGCAAGTATTTCACCAAGCAATGCTGTCTGCTGTGACCACATGTCCAGCTCTCCGCGGGGAGTCTTTGCGAGTCAGAATGCCGCCCTCCCCACGGCTGACTGGTTGTCCCCTGATTGGCCGAGGCGAAATGAGAACCAAATGATGGAACTTGGAGCTGATCCAGTTTTCTGAATCATGGTGGAATTATAAAACAATTTAGGCCAGTAATTACTACCAGTTTGTCACATTTTTGATAGTTCGTGATTCCACAGGAAGGTCTGAAATTGAAACAAATCCAGTTGAGACCTTCATACTAAGATGTATGGTGGAAACTGTGTTTTCATTTTGGGTTCTTGAAACAGTCAGTCAATATTTAAAGGGAATATACATCATTGGCTTTTGCTGCAATTTTCAGAAATAAACTATTTGAGGGGTTAGTATAATGGATCAAATATTGTTTAACTGACATGTTTGAAGTTTTGTGTTACGAAAATGCTTGAAAAACCAAGAAAAACAAAAATATTTAAGTAGTCTGGTTCCCTGACACCACTAAAGATAAAATGGATCAAGTTATAGATGTCAGAAAATTGTAAGGTAAGGGAACCAGTCTAGCTGGCCTGCACCCGTTCATGAACATGTAACCAATGGCAAACACAATTTGGACTGAAAAAAAATTGTAAATTTGGAGCAGTAGTTGAAATATAGTTAGGTTTTTCCAACGGTGGTCGGCTGACCACCGTTGGAAATGTATACAAAAATACAATTTTCTTGAAAATGACTTGACACCAGGTACCATAATTTTACAAGATGCTTTAGACTGTCATTTACCAACATCTTAGTAAGGTATTTCGTAAAAACTTGGTAGTTTTATTTTTCGATGTTTGCAAATGTTGTATATTCCCTTTAAACAGTTTTAAAAATGCTTAAATTGCTTGAGCATGTTTATTTTTTTCATTTTTCCTTTTTTTTTCAAATCAACTGAGAGTACCCTGAGAATATTCTGGGAGAATTTCTAACCGCCATACATGTACCGGTATTAAGTAGTAATATTTTAATATTCTTTTGTTTTTCTCTCTTTTTGTAATTTTGTTGGGAAACTTCCTTATTCCACCAAAATCTAATATTATTGGAACAGAATGGTGAGTTATTTGTTCTAAACCAATATAGGACATCAAACTTCATGTTATACTTTAGCAACTGGGCTGTACTTTCCAGAATCTACAAAAAGAAAAAGATGCAATCGCAGTTTTCATTGAATTAAGTGTTGTTAGAGAACTTCGCTTTGAAGTTGACAAAACCAATGTGTGTTATAATGTGAGTCAGGAAAAAAAACTCTGCAGTGCAGTGCATTGTATGCTGATAAGTTTGCAGGTTGAAAAACAGCCAAACCTTGTAAACACTTCCCAGGGTGTGAACTGTGCTAAAGTAAAGGCCAGACTTTTCCCCTGTAAATCACAGATTTTGTCAAGTCATATTAAGTCTGTGTTGGCTCAAAATTTCCTCTCTGAAACTCTACCCACCCCCCCCCCCTCCACCCCTCTCCTCATTAGGTGAATTACGTGTCTAGCTCATGATTTATGGGCAATTTTCCTTTATTGCTGATTTTGCCTTCAGAGATGATTTATTTTGTGACTAGATTTACGCATTAACGTTTTTAATCAACAGCTGAAGTTCTTGGCGCAGTCACATCCGGTGAATTGATTTTGTTCCTGAACAGACCCCCTGAATTTAATTTCAATTAGATCCCATGACATTTACTTGCAGTTTTCAGGATTAAGCAATCACGTAATTCTGTAATTAAGATATCACACTATTAGTTGTATATAAGTGGAAGAGGCTTTTTGAGTGTTGCAATGTCTCTTGTCTCAAATGGACAACATTAGCTTTTGCTGTAATTTTCAGAAACGGATGGATTGGTTTTTTTTTGGGGGGGGGGGTTAGTATTTTATAGCAAATATTGTTACACTAACGTGTTTGAAGTTAAATGTATGTGTTCGTAGTAAGTAGAAAACAAAGCAAAACAATCATGTTCTTGTAGTCTGGTTCCCTGACCCCACTTAAGATGAAACAGAGCAATTTATAGACGTCGGAGAATTGTAAGGTCAGGGAACCAGTCTAGCTGGCTTGTACCCGTTCAAAGGTGTGTAATCGATTGCAAACCAAATGCGGACTAACTACATTGTAAATTGGGGGTAGTATTTGAAAAAAGCCAGTAATTTTCCAACGCTGGTCGGCCGACCATCGTTGGAAATTGATACATACCGGTAAATACCACTTTTCTTGAAACTGTCAGCACACCAGGTGCCAAGCTTTACACTGGATGCTTTAGACTGTCATTCCCCAACAGTCCAGTAAGGTATTTTATAATATTTTTGGTAGTTTTGTTTTTTAATGTTTGGGTAAATGTTGTATACAAAAAAAAAATATTCCCTTTAAATGGATCACAAGTTTTGTAGTGCGGCATTCTTGTCCGCAAACACAATCTGGATTGGACCAGGTGCGCCAAGTCTCTCACCAAAAATGCTAAGACAAAGATTGATGGATTGTTAAACTTTGGAAAAAAATATAAACTAACTCTAAACCGAAAAAGAAGAAAAAGAAAGAAAGCCGCAGTGATCAATCCTTCGTCTTGCCACTGACAAAGAGGAAGAGCACGCTTGACCCCCTGACCCTAACCTTTGACCTTCCCTCTTAATCATCCTGGCACAACAGGTGTTTCGGCAGGTGTGAGGCAGAAATTTTGGCGACCATGAAAACATCAAGCTTCATTACAGACTTCCCTCAAACAGGGAGTCGGGTTTCGTTTTCCCTCCTCCAAACCTTGGAGAAATCTTTTTCAAATGTATGATTAAATGAATGGATTTTAGTATATGGGATTAAGTTTCAGAATTGAAGTGATAATGTATCCAGCATTGAACATTTATAAGTTGGAGATATTCTTGATTAAAATTTAAGTTTTTAAAACAGAAGTAGTCAGAACTGTGTGTGGTGTGCAGAGTTGACAAGATTTTTTTCACAAGCAGAAGTATTACAGAACTACTCAAATGTACATGTAGTGTTCGTACAGTGATGTTCATTGCACATGAGTAATGTGAGGAGACTGTGTAGTGTATACTGTACATGTTTTAGAGGATATCACAATTTATTGGAAGAAATGTTAAAGGTCACGGAGGCCTTGCGTGAAGAATTATCGGGGAGGGCTTGAAAACCCATTTTTTTTTTAGTAACGTCTCAAAAAAGCAGCCATTGTGTTTACCACCCACAAAACGCAACAAATGCAATACATTTGCACCCCTCCCCTTGCTTTTCATATTAAATTTGGGGCGGACAATTTTTGGACCTACTTTTTCTGGAACTCAATTTTTTATGCCCCCTCCCAAATTGTGTTCTGGATCCGGCCTTGATACTTGTGTTCCACTTAATTCACAATTCCTCAATTTGTACACACATCTCTGCCAAACTTGAAGCTGTTTCATACTATGCAATCAACCTTGTGAACTGTTGAAATACCTATCCGGATCGGACTACTCAGCGGAGGGCCAGTCATGATGAGAGAGGGTTCAAATAACTTCCTCTGACTATAACCTGCCAATTTTCCGCGCTTCCTGACCGCAAAAATCCCCCGAGTTCCAGTTTATGACTTCACAAGCTTGGAAAGGGGGGGGGGGGGGGGGGAGCTAGGCATGACAAAGTTTGGATAAACACAACCGTGAATCATGGAGGGCTGTAAGTCAAGCACTCTATCATGTCTCACCAATTCCCAAAATAACTAGGGACCATGGAAAAATAAAATTGAGCATGTCCCTGACTTCCAACATGTTTTTGATGCTAGAAATCTTCCTAGATCCTCCAAAATTATCCACGGTGCACAAAACCAACAGCACATTGTGTTAGTAATAATGCCCATCGCCATGTTGGTCCGAGGTCTCTGAAAATTGTAGAAAATTTAAGGAAATGCTTGGAAATTAAATTTGTGATTTTTAGGTCTGTCATAAGTAAGGTGCCAACGTGTACATTAGAATCAAGCTGAAAGGATCTGTTACAGTTTACAGTCTATAGTGCATATAATTGATATAAACATAGTTTTTTAATATTGATTTCTCCACAGAAGGTGTCGACCAAGCAGCTTCGTAAAATGATTGACAGATACTGGCTGACCCTGGCCCTACTGGGCGTGCTCTGGGCGGTCGCAGTGGGCAACATCATCGGTTGCAATGAGAACAAGTGCGCGTCGGAGGTCAGCAAGTGCCAGCTGATTGGCTCCTGCGGTTGCAGCTACCACGCCGACAACTGCACGTGCTGCTTGAACTGTTCCCGCTGTCTGGCCGCTTACTGGGAGGAATGTTGCTCCTGTACAGGTCGGTCACAGTCACAGAGACAATCCAGACTGATAGACGGACTAACAAACAGATTGGCGGAACTCACATCACGTGACATTCGTTATTGCTCCCATTCACGCCGCGGCTCAAAATGTACTATGTACGGTACTATGGGGAATGGGAAATACTATTGAACAGTTGGGATCATTCTTGTTCCATGACGCAGTATTTGTGTGCAAATGCATGCTGGTGTGCGCGTTGTTCCAAAGAGCCGGTGCTACAGCGTTGGGTTCAAACATTTTCGTGAAGGGGTGGTTTGGAAGAGAAAAATAAGTTTTCCACCAATTTTGTATTGAATATATCAAATATATCAAATGACAAGGATCTATACATGTATGTCAGTTATATAAAACAACTATTAAATTGTGAAATGGGAGGAATATTATCACTTGGTAAAATCTGGACTTTTCCAGTTCACTTGGCTTCGCCTTGTGAAATGGAAAAGTCCAAATTTCACCTTGCGTTAATATTCCTCCCATTTCCCTCTGAGCCACTCAATATTTGTACACTATCCAAAAATCTCCATGTGGGACCTGGGTCAGACCTTGAGACTTTGTTAACCCCTTTCACACTAATTGGGCGAGAAGCCAGTCCGGCAGGGTTCTGCACGAGGCTACACGGGCCTAGCCCAACTCTGACCAGAGTTGAGAGGGGGGGAACCACACATCCGCGCCGAAATGTAGATATCGGGGGGTGAAGGGAAGGGTACCCATCTTCCAAATGGGGGCGCTCTTCAAAACTGACCATTATTATGCATACTGGAAAATATATGCCGATTTTCACGGCGCATTGTAATGGTTTTTGAGCTTGTTTTCTTTTTTGGCTTGATGTCAAACATCTCTAACCATTTTTTGAATAAGAAAAAAAACCCGCCGGGGGGGGGGGGGGGGGGGGTCAAGATGCAAAACAAAAACAATTCTCATAAGGATGCATGTGAATTGTTTTCGTTTTGCTGAAAGAACACTTAACCTAGAACTTAGCAACGGTCTTTGTGTTCAAAATTCCGTAACTTGAAAAGTGCATGAGTGATTTGAATTATTTTTGAACTAATAGAAAGCTCATTGATTGGGCTTTCATATCCTAGATTTTGAAAGTACTACAGGCAAAACTTCATTCAAAAATTGGTCCTGCCATTTTGGTATCTTTTTTTTTGGACTCGCCCTGTACAATTAGCACGATTAATAGCAAACAATTGATAACTGGTTTTGATCAGAAAACATGACTGGTTTATCCGTCAGTAATGAATTGTTCTTGCATCATTCCCAGGACTGTGCCCGGTGTTCGGAGAGGACCCCATCCCATCCTGGCATCGGAGCACCCTGGTGGACCTCGACCCCTTCCCCTCTCTGTTCAACGCCTTGACCAGCTTGGAGGCCTCCCAAGACCCTAACCTGAGATGGACGTCCTTCCCCCTCACGCTGAAGGATCAAGGAATACTGGTTCTTCCGACAGGTAAATTGGAATTTCCTTAACCCTAAAAGGGCCGGGGGGGGGGGGGGGCGGAACCCCTCGACATTTTCCGCGATAGCCTTGAAAAAAATTTCTTCGCGACCCGAGCTGTTATGACTTTTTAGCCTCAAGCCTTGCGCATCTTTTGATACCAAAAATATAAAAATCGGACCACGGGTTGCCGCGCAGCGAAAAATTTTGCGGCGAAAACTGAATTTTGCCATATACGTCGTGTACACAGAGCAGAATTACCATTCGTACATATGAATAATTAATTAGCCATAATTCCACAACCCTTTGACCTAAGGTCATGAAATTTCTTGGGTATGTTAATGATGAGTTGCTCGATGCATGTACCGAGTTTCAAAAATTTTCGTCTCTCGAGAGATGGTCAAAATAACCCGGCACTTTTAGGGTTAAAACGCTGTCGGTGGGTTTTAGCAGTTCAAAGCAGCTCAAGAAATCATTGTGTCTTTCCATTGGTTGGTTGGTTGGTTAGTAACACATCAGCTCATGCCTTTTTTGGCAATCAATCACCTTGTCACTTAGACCCTCGCAACAACACGTGCTTCAGGTCTCCACTGACCAGTACCTATTTATTGCAGTCGTAGAAAATTGGGTCACGATTGATAATTAATGTAACCCTCGCATTGTGCATTATTGTGTTATCATTGATTGGGCTAAACAACTTCTCTCAGTATCGGTAATAATTGATGATCGGTGTGGGCATTGAATACTGACGACATTTGACCCATTTTCCCACCCTTTCCCCACCACCCCCCCCCCTCCCAGCTATGCCTACAGTGTATGAGGATGAATCGCCTGCGGTTGCAGCAGCCAACACTACGGTATCCGATGAGTGCATCGTGGCCTACATGCACGACTGCACCTCCCTGGAGAAATGCCAGACGACCTGCAGATCCATGGGGGCGGCCCAGCAGCGCTGGTTCCACAACGGCTGCTGCGAGTGCATCGGCGAGATCTGCCTGAACTACGGCAAGAACGAGCCGCTGTGTAAAGAATGTCTGGCTGGGGAATATTAAGCAGACACGGAGTTGTTACCGAGTTGAGATCGAGTCCATCACAAGTCGTATCACAAATCCATTTAAACCACAGGTCAAAGAAATGAGTACTTGTATAGTCGTACTTAACATGAGTTACGCCTTTTCGATGGTTCTTTTTAGCTTGAAACTCGACTTGAGACTGCAAGTCTTTTGATTGGCTTGTTAGGACTTATGATGGACTTGTGATTGACTGGAGGACTTGTGAGGACTTGTAAGGATTGTGAGGACTTGTAAGGATTGTGAGGACTTGTGAGGACTTGTGAGGATTGTGAGGACTTGTGAGGATTGTCAGGATTGTGAGGACTTGTAAGGATTGTGAGGACTTGTTAGAATTTGTAAGGATTGTGAGGACTTGTAAGGATTGTGAGGACTTGTGAGGATTGTCAGGATTGTGAGGACTTGTAAGGATTGTGAGGACTTGTAAGGATTGTGAGGACTTGTTAGAATTTGTAAGGATTGTGAGGACTTGTAAGGATTGTTAGGACTTGTGAGGACTTGTAAGGAATTTGAGGACTTGTAAGGATTGTGAGGACTTGTAAGGATTGTGAGGACTTGTTAGAATTTGTAAGGATTGTGAGGACCTGACCACATCTCTGCCAAAGTGTTTAAAATGGAGTATTTATTGATGGAGTGAGACTGATTTGCCAGGCACGGCATTCATTGGTTGAGTAGCCTGGGGATCAGAAAATTTTTAATCCGGTCTGCAGAGTTGAAAAATAGCTTGAGTCTTCCATTATTAAAAGCCTTTTTAAAAAATTCTCATATTTTTGTAGATATGGCTGCCATTTTGAAAGTATCCTCAGCCAGCTTGTTGGTTTAGATGCATTGTATTGAAAAATTCTACTTTCTGGATTTAAATTTCAGTATTTTCTCGCTACTTAGACTTATTATTTATTTCTGATCATCGCATTGAAACTACATGTATTTGCTTGTGTCGCCTTGTCCTGGAGGTTTATTAAGGGGATATTGTGACTTTTAGGCCCCCTTCTAAGGAGGGGGAGGGGGGAATCTGCACCCTAGGCTCAAGGGCAGATCCAGGGGGGCCAAGGGGGCCATGGCCCCCCCCCAAAACGAAACCAATTTTTAAAAAATTTTTATGTGACATCGCAATAAAGGCAGGCAATGAGTACACCACCATCTTTTCCTCAAAAAAACACATTGGTTAAAGTGGTCAGAAAGTGCCTCAGATCGCACCACAGAGCATCTAGAATCCCCCCCAAAAATTTGACCCACTTTTTGGGGGGACCAAACAATTTTTTGGCCCCCCCAAATTGTGTTCTGGATCCGCCCTTGCCTAGGCTACGCCCCAAACCTTCTTAAGACCGCTTCGGAAGGATACCTACCAGGCCATGTGGTTAATTCCCGCCTGTGTTGTTCCTCACCACTGCATAATTTACATGTACACAAAGGATTTCATTACATAACAGAAACAGAATGGTCACACTGTGCAGTTGAATGGCATGCTGGTAACTGGAATAGAAGCCGACATGTACAACCTTGTAAGTTAATACTTTGGGACTCAGTCCGCTATTGATATGAGAATCAGATGCAGTATTTTTTCCATTCCCCTTACTTCTATATTGTATGCAAATGGTCATTCATGTCTCAGCTTCTTTTTGGAGCAGCAAATTTGGGACATCTTGTCTCCGAGTCCACGCTACTTATAAATAACTTCCAGGCGGACTGTTGGTAACACTTCTTGCAGTTGATATCTTTGTTTGCTTACCAAGTTTAATTGTGAGATTTTTGTAATTTTATCAATTTTGTTTATAATAATACAGTGTACCGGTAGTTACATGTGCCATTTCCCATCAGAATTTGGGAAGTGTCAGCATGTTAAAAAAAAAAAATAAAATAGTATTTGATTGTTTGAAACTGTGTTTGACCAAATATTCAAATATTCGAAACATGGCAGTCAAGTTGCCAGCTGCAACTGCATGCGGCACCTGTCTAAAAGTTGCACGCAAACCGCGCCAGTTATAATTTGCGTGCGCCGATTGATGTTTTGGTCCGCGGGAGTGTTTTGCAGTAAGTATTTATAACAGGGGTGTGAAATCTCAGCTTTAAAGCTGATTTCAGCTTTTTTTGTTTTGGATTTCAGCTTTTTCCCTCACTTGCTGTGTGCAAAAGTATAGTAGATTTCCAAAGTTCAGCTTATTTACACTTTTTCCAGCTATTTTCAGCTATTTTTATCAGTGGTCACTCACACCCCTGTTATAAGTGGCATTGGCTTTTATACCTGCTACAAGGAAGGGAACAACGAACCGCCGTCGACCCAAAAAGTTACTGTCAACATAAATAGCATCACAGTCGTGTGTGTTCATGTGTGGTTTGTTATCTTTGGAATATTCGAACCAGCAGCAAGCTGATTCAATATTTGGTTGATGATTTACTTTTCGAATATTCGGTATATTTGGATCAGCCCTAAATTTGTCTGGAGTCGCACAGCTGCAATAGACATGTAGTTGTAATTTATTAGTGTAATCACGATTTTAAAATTTATTTGAAATCAAACATTATGTGCTTATGGATACATCAGTATTTTGCATGTACATGTACATCTAGGGACAAATTCACTTCAAGCTTCTTGGTAGTTGGAGTAACGTGCTTACAACAGCAAAAACAATGTGCCAATTTAGAGCATTTTGACTATTTTGATGATCTTTACTGTGTTTACTGCTCTATGATAATGCTTGAAGGGTGGAGAAATTTGTGTGCTTAGAAGCTCCATGGAATTATTCCCAACTTGACATCTGTTCTGATTATGAGTCATCCCTTATCGTTATGAAAGTGGCTATGATCACTCATATTATATTTGGCGAAATACTTCAATATATATAGCTAAATGTATTTATGTAAATTTCTACTTATTAGGTACTAACAGTGTTATATTTTCAGTTGCCATTTTCATAATACACTTGTATAATGTACATATTATACTAATGGAATAAGCCCTCGGTGAATTGAATTGAGTTATTCGTCGGGTAACAAAGTTTGGCTCATTTGAACTAACTCATGTTGGTGTTTCACATTGGGGGGGGGGGGGGGGGGTGTGAGCCCTCACATAATTACTTTCAGTACAGGACACCCTGCAATGTTGCAGTCCGAGTAACTCTACGAATCGCCTTTTTTAACATTTGGACATGGTCGGGCGATAGTAGAGTCCTAGGTACATAGCCTTATTGTGTTACTAATAACTTTTTTTGACCATTTTCACTTATACCCCCAGTCAAAATCTTCAGATTTCACCCCCAAAACAGTCTTCAAACTGCCTCATGCGACCCTGTAGGCTTCACTGGGAATTGGAAATACAAATGGTGGTGGTTAGGTTCACATACCTTTGGGAAGAAAAGAGAAATTTCACCTTCAATTCGGGAAACATCCTTGTCACAAATGCCTTGTTTGAGGCTGCCATTTTGAATTCAGGAAATGCATCAGACAGACCAATCACAGGGCACTTTGATTGGCCACCTGGATTGGTGACCCATCAAAGTGCCCTGTGATTGGTCAGGTAACAAATCGAAGTGCCCTGTGATTGGTCCGTCTGATGCTTGCCAGGAAACAGTCTAGCCAGCCATGCACCAGTCTACTTTTCCAATAAGGCTATGTACGTAATAAGGCTATGCACCTAGGACTCTACTACCGGTATCGCCCGACCATGTCCAAATGTTAAAAAAGGCGATTCGTAGAGTCCTAGTTACTCAGACTAGCAATGTTGATACATTCTTCACAACGGGAGAAGAATGGCAGAAAGAGACCAGACAATTGCAGAGCTGGCAAAACTGCCCTTCGTCATGTCACAATACATGTACATGTATGTTTGATTTGGCAATTACTGTGAGTTTTGTTTGCCGTTACTGGGACATTTCCGTGCCTGAGCTTTGGAGCGTCCCAGTACTAGTAATGGTGCGTATGCATGGTGCAAAGTACGCATTCTGAATATATGTGCACAAACCAGCACACAGCCATAACGTCTTCGCGCAGTGCATTTGAATGGCCCTCCCACTGTCCCGACATTTGAATCTAGAGCCTGCGAAAAAGCTTGAGTAAGCATGAAGAAAGCATTTTTTTTGAAGAAAAAAAAAAGGTGAAAAGTAGGAAATTGTGTGAAATTAAGATTGATTGCAGGTTACACCAAATTTGCTGAGCTCTGCTTTAGAATGTTCCAATAACAGGAGATGAGAGTTAAGTGGTTGTAATGAATGTTTATCTTGAAACTGGTTATTTCACTTTAAATCATGATGAGTTCCGTTCTATCTACAGGTAGATCTCTGGGGGATAACAGCTGTGCGTGAGTTCATCTCTGTAAAGTTTGTCGGCTATTGACCGTAATTTTTGTTCCGTTTGGGACAGACTTGCTAACACCGTCAAACATCATTAGGGTAAACTATTCACTTTTGACTTCGTTCACACTCAAACAAAAAATTGCCTGTCTGAGTGATCACCCATTGTCCAATGGAGCCTTCTCCGTAACCAACGTCTGATATATGTGAGTCATGCAAATTTTATGCAACCCCGCGCGCCAGCAAATCAGAGTCGACTTTAAAAATCGTGATCTCATTTTCGATCAGAAATGTGGACTAAGCTGTTGATTGGTCAACTTGGTTGCCATGTTTTTGTAATACATCAACGGGTTACGGAAGACCCGATAGAAGGCGCCCGCTGAATGGTCAGAATCTCGAGTTCAAGACGCAATCTTGTTTTGCATAATTTATCGCAGAATCGCAGAATCTGTCAGTGCCAACTACATGTATTCACAACAGGTGAAAGTTAAAGTGAACTGAAATCTGGTGTCGAGCTTGATATACAAAACTTGAAATAATTAGTTGGGTAACAAAAAATGGTTTCATGAGCATGTGGGAATTTACTTGGCCATTTTTTGTTTTGTTTTTGAACTGGATAATTTGGGTATCCTTATATTTTGTTGTTGACATATTTGTTAAACCTTTTTACAACAAGGCCCAATTTCACGGCGCTGCTAAGCACACAATTTTCTGCTAACAGAGCCTCCGTCTATTTCATGGAGACTGTAAGCATAAGCACAGGAAAAGGCATGCTTACCTCAGAAAAAAAATTTGCTTAGCTTAGTGACGTAACAATAGAAATCTCCATGCACGCGCGACCGTTAGCACACACACGCCGTGAAATAGTGCTTAAGGTTAGCAAGTTTTTCTGCTATGCTAAACACAACTTTTCTGCTAACTGTTAAAGCAGCGCCGTGAAATTGGGCCCTGATCTCAAGTTAAAAT